CATACTCAGGCGTCAATAGATTTTGTTTGTCAGATTAGAGTGGCCACCAGACAGTAATTCATGTGGGTGTAAACGTCCATTAATTGAAATGATGAATTTTTGAAGACTTTTGAAAACTGAAAATCTTGAAAAAGCCCAGATGTCATCATACATTTTTTACATGTCCGGTTAAAAGTTGCTTGGCCATACTTTGCGTCCTTTGAACCATACAGCTTACATACACATGTAAAAACAGTCAGTTGTCGCCTAACTCTTAAAGCATTTTAACACGAATTTGATTGCGAATTGGCGTAATGCAGGCCTCGTCAAGAAATTGGACGAAGAGAACAAGATAAACACGTATCTTTGCCAGGAGAAGCTGCCCAAGGAGATTGAGGCCAAGCGCAAGGCATGCCAGGATCTGGAGCGAGTCGTCAATGAGCCGGCCATGGGTCAGAGCGACCTGGATGAGATCCACACACAGGTCACTTGTGTCTTTAATAAAACGTTGTTAGCTGTGGCATAGCAAGCCACATGAAACAAAATCAAACATTTCAGGTATTAAACTGTCTTGGCTGGCAGTGAGCCAGGGTGCTTGTACAGGAATTGTGTCAATGTGAAACTTTTCCCGTCAGATCAACCAGTTTTCTCATTCTTTTTTCTGCCCATGTAAAGCTATGAAAAAATACAAATGTTACAGATCTTGTGCAGTGAGGAATTTCATTCTTTATTGCAACTTCCGTTTGGAATTTCAGTGTTCAATTTATTTGAATCTTTTAATCCATGGAAAGGTAGTGGAAACCCCAAATCATGGCCTTTTGGTATGACTGTTGTTGTAATGATTCCCTGTGGCTACTCTCATGGCAGATAAAAACAGTGAACTCGGAGGTCAATAGCCTGATCGAGAAGCGCATGATGAGTAATGATCCCATCGACGACAAGATGTCACTCTTCCGGCAGCAAGCAGCCATCATCAGCCGCAAGAAGGAGACGGCGGCTGAGACACTGCAGGACGCCAAGGACGAGCTGCACGCCTGCCAGCAGGAAGCAGCCGAGAAGAGGGAAAGCGTTAGGGGCCTGCAGGGAGAGGAGGTACTCAAAGGAGACGAGGTAGGTCAGAGATGGCCGTGCTTTCATTCTGGATAACCAAAAATCAGTTCTGCCTACTCGTTTAGATCAGATTTAAAGGGGTATTATTTGGGGGAATTTGTACCACCTGAATGCTTTGTGTTAAGCACTTTGAGCCAACCTTTGTGTGAGGAAGTTTATTTGATGAACTGTCTGAGCTTCTTGGTGTATTTTTGTCAGATTTTGCTTATGTCTACAATGCAGCTATGGAAACTTCATTGCCCAATGCCTGTCTTTAAGTGGAAATATTTTGGGGAGTCATTAATACAAGACCTGTTTCTCATAAGATTTTTTACACAACTAAGAGGGCATGTATTCCACACCGATTTGTTCATTATAAATTTTGGAATGTGCCCTGCATTTTGTTTCTCTGTCGGTAATCTGCCCGCGTAGTTCAAGCGCTACGTTAACAAGCTCCGAGGTAAGAGCACCGTCTACAAGAAGAAACGGCAGGAGCTGGCTGAGCTTAGAGCAGAGCACGGTGTGCTGTCCAGGACTGAAGAGATACTCAGGCAGAGGGATGAAGCACTGCAGAAAACCCTGGTGAGAATGACCACAGTGGTTTCTCGGAAAAGAAATTTGTTGGCTTCTGTTGCATTCCTTTAACACAGAAATGCTGTTTGTGCGGCGCATTCCATTAAAAATTGCACGATATGCCCGTTACTCGATACATTTCTTGACAGGAGCCGTCAAAATATGGAATGTAATTATCAGATTTTATTCCAGAGTTTTATTTGAAATTAATCATTCTTCCCCCCCCCCAACCAGGCCAAACTGGAGGCTAAGAAGGGCGTGTCCGGTTACCATGATACCCAGGAAGAGCTGGAGAAGGTGTCGGCCATCAAGAGTGAGCTGGATGACATGAAGGGACGGACGCTGGAGGACATGTCGGAAATGGTAAGGACTCCAAACTCTATGAGCTTCAGCAAGTTGGAACGCTGTTGCGGCACCTGTTCACGTGAATGGATTTCTGCCAAGGCTGTATATCCTTCCATTTTAGAAAGCCTCTCTCCCTGTATTAATCAATGAGGACTTTCAGACTGTGATATGGCAGGGAAGGTGGTCTTCTTTTGGGGACTTCAGCAGGAAATGTCGTGTTCTTCAGTTTTGTCACTTGTTTCCCCAATAGGTTAAGAAACTGAACATAACCATCTCTGCCAAGAAGGCTGACCTGGCACCAGTTATCAAGGAACTGCGGCCCCTCCGCCAACAAGCCCAGGAGTTGGAGACAGTCTACCATGAGAAGAAATCGGCATACGATCAGCTGGCTGCTGGCCTGGAGAGCAACCGCTCTAAGCTGGAACAGGTTAGAACTTCAAAGCCGAAACTATTGCTCTGCAAATTTTTGTGCTTAGCAAAAATGTCTTATGTACCAGTCTCATTTGCATAAATTGTTTGACATTTTTGGCTGGTAACCAGTATCTTAGAAAATGTCTTTTGTTCCCAGAAATTTTCTGTATTAAGCTGGACAGTTTCAAAAAATTGGACCACTTGTTTGGTTTTGGTCTCATTGCTCCAAAAAACTATTTTGAATTCAGCCAGTAGACTTCCATAGCAGTTACTGTCTATAAACCGTGAATGAATGCTAGTTTGGATCAGGTTGATGTAATTTTGGACACGGGTCAGTTAGATGATATTTGGTCTGCTTTGTGTGCCGTCTCGATATCAGCACTCAATGCTCAGTGACCGAGTTTTATAATTTGGGTATTGCCCTTATGAATTGTGATCACAGCTTAGATCTGATTGTTTCTTTTCCTGCCTTTCCAGGAGGTGCGGGCCTACCGCGAGGAGTGCTCTCAAGAGGAGAGCCGCTATCACTATCTAAACTGCATGCGTCGCATCATCGCCATGCAGCAGCAGCGAGTGTCGGACGAGATGAAGGCGTACACCTCCTCGGACCCGGCCGAGAGAAAGAAAGCATTCCGGGATCAGTACACGCGGAAAATACAGGAGCAAGAAAATCTGGGCAAGGTAGTGTAAAGAGAAGTTGTTTACATCCAAATTATTTCTCATACCAATTTAAATGACTTAAACCAGTGTTATAGTTAAGCACTTGAAAGTACTCACAGGTGCGTCATGAAGTATATAAGAAGTATCCCAGTTGCAGTAAAGACCACCAGCTGTTTTGCATGAAGGGCACCGACTTACACTGCGTAAAAGTTGTGCATTTTCTCTTCAAGGCGGCGCAGAAATCAAACACGATTTCATTGTCATCTCTTTCTTGTATTTACCTCTTTTAAGAGTCTACGAGAGAAGCAGAAGGTGATCAAGGAGAGCCACGGCCCCAACATGAGGCAGATGAAGATGTGGAAGGACTTCCAGACCCTGATGGAGTGCAAGAGAGACTGCCATCTCAACAGGGGCAAGGTCACCGATACCTCCAAGATGATCAGGGACGAGGTCAACCAGGAAGACAGGCTCATCCTCTGAAGGCCTTTTGATTGCATCAGCTCAGATCGTTCAGTTTCTTCAAAGTTGCACCTGTAACACATTTACTTCATGTTGGTTGTGGACTTCATGATGACTGCTGTTTGCATAGAATTAGATCCTCTGTAGTCATAATTTAGAATGTTTTTTTGAAAGGGTGTCACTAGCCCGAAATGAGGTTACACCTTCCTGTCTCAGTGTTTGCAGGAATCATTCAGAAAAGGATCCCACTCTGTGACAGTGGAGGGCTTCTCTGTGCATAAACAATTTTTGTTACCGCTCAAACCAGTGACATTAAGTGGAGATTTTCAGTTCTTGTTCAGAAACAATTGGTTTCTAATCAACTGGTGACTTTTGTTGCTCATTTATGTCCAAGTTATTCATGGGTTGTGTAAATACACTGTATTACTATAAAGAGATTTCCACAAAATTTGTCGTGCCATAATCTGTAGCTTAAAATAATATAAAGCAAAGGTCGTGCCGCTGTTTTCTCAGCTGTTTCAGTTTAAACTACTGGCAAATTTGAACTTTCAAATGTAGTAAAACGTGTATCCCCTAATCAAGCACAAGAGCCTTTGTGTGTTCAGTTTCAGCATAAATGCAAGTTTGCTCCAACAATGTACACCTAACAAATTAATTAAAGGCTTAAAACTATATGGCGTACCAATTCATTAATGATTTAAGACTACATTTCTGTGGCATTATTGCAATTTAGTTTGATTGTAAAAGAGCAAACAGTCAAAGTGGAGTGTGTCGTGTGAATAAAACATACAAGTACAATTCAAATAATAAAATGCCTATCTATTTTTTGTTGGTTACGTAGTCCTTGCAGTTTCTTTACTGCACACGGTGTTACTACAAAAGGTGAGATCTGAACTCCAAATAAAGAATAGCCGTCAGTTAAGATAAGAACACTGCCAGACCAGTAAGATAATGTCTAGAGCCTAGACTTCTCGCTGTCAATTCTTTGACGGACCTCGCAGCACATGCATTTACAGATAATGCATTGTGCTGGTAGACTTTTGCATGTTGGCCTTCACGCTTCGCTTGGTCCCCTGAACTTGTGCCATGCTTTTATCACTGGTTCCCGCTTCTGCCAGATGTGCTTGTGGCCAAGTGTCACATAGTAACTGCATAGAAAAAAACATGCAAAGCATATTCAGACAGTCGCAAGGAACTGTTTTACACAAAATTAGTTACTGTGAATCGAAGCTGGAACACTGGGTCTGTGCTTTACTATCTGGACGTCAAGTACCATTATTTGGTAGCACTAAAAGGTGCTTACCATCCAGTTAGAAGGCCTGCTAAATGAGCCGCATGGTCAAAGAACTGCCAACCTAGCAGGACACCGGCAGACTCCAAACCTATCAAGAACTTCAGTGCCTGTAACAAAGCAATTGAAACCTCAAAATGTCACAAAACCAAACATTCACAGCTTTCAACTCAAATGACAGCCAAAACTGAGCCCGGAGCAAAAAAAAATGGTGATTTAGGGAAAGCTTTGCCTTTGCAGGAAATGAGATGTTAACAGGATAAGGATTTTTATCCTACTTACTGCCCCTGCGGAGAATGTGAAGAATGGTAGGAAGATGATGGCTAGCCTGGAGTCTGGGAACTGGGTGCATACTGCTCCAAGCACAGCCATGATAGCACCAGACTAGAGAAGAAAAAGATACAGCCGAGAGACACTTATTCACTTGGGAATGATGTGACCATCCTGTCGATGAATTTCAAAGACTCAAATGAATAAATTCTCAGGGAATCCAGGCTTCAATGTGTGGGAAACTTCTAGAAAGCTTCAAGGCTGCTGTGTACTTACTGCTCCCAATGATGGGTGGTATTTGCAGGTTGCTATTTTCAGCACGTAGCTGGCAAATGATGCCCACACACCTGTGAGAAAACACAAAAGTCAAAACACAAGATGATCTAAAACTTGAATCACTCACTCCCAAATCTTTCAAACGTCTTACTTAAAATCTGTACTGCAGACTTGGCAACTCTGAATTTATTTGTTCATTTGTTCCTCTGGTTGGTTTTTGTTGGGTTGGTAGAATAAGTGTAAGGAATGCAGCTATATCTTCTTTTGACACTCTCAAGCTTGCTATATCCAGGAGTTACATTTGGGTCAACTTACAACTGCTTACAACTGCTCCAAATGGCTCCCTACCTGAGCTGAGGTACATGGCTAAGAACTGTTCCTTGCCAAGAGTGATGCCTATACTCGGTGCAAAGCTCCACAGGACGTACATGTTGATGGCTAGATGCCAGAAAGAGTACTGGCTGAACGTAGACAGCAGCATGGGTAAACACAAGGCACCTTTAGGAGATCATCAAAACTTGCTCAATTTATCACAGAGATGGCAATTTTTACGAGGGGTATACGACACAAGTACGCGGAGGAATAACTAGGGCCCAATTTGAAGGCACTGCTTTCCAATACCACAGAATTCCGCGCTTACAATCTCCATTCTGCGCTAACCGCGCAAGCAGAAAAATGCTGCACTAATCCTTTAAGCACAGAATCCTTAGTTAGGGGATGTACGCATGTGCGCAAGCCAAAATTCCTAGCTAACCCACGAAATATGTTTGGCATGCAGGATTTTCTGCAATGGTAAGCACCGATTTTTCGCTTGCGGTGAGCAGCGCCATGAAATTGGGCCCATGTCATCTTGGAAGAGTAGCTTTTCTACCATTTGTAATATACCAGGTATGCTAAAAATAACAAGATGGCAAACTAACTTGAAGCGGGGCTGGCGCTGAACCACTTGACCATAAAAAACTGCATGCTTGGTATCCTCCAGCATGCAAAGACAGCAACGTTGGCGGCTATGATGCCTAGCACCACCTTCTCTGTGCCCGACAAGTGCTGGAACCACTGGTTGATCTGTGTAAAGTCAGGGCCAATGAAAACATTCCTTAGTCGCAGTTTCCCCTGAAAAATCTAGCAGGGGTTTGCTGTATTTTGCCCTATCCGCCCCGAGCAGAAGCACCCCTCATCAGTTGAAAAGAGCCATATTGGTTAGGAGTATTCATTTTATTGGTAGCGATGTGATCACAATACATTCATTTCCTAGCCGTTCGTGGACCAGCAAAGTTTATTCCCGACCAAAGCAACCTCCGTTGCTGAGAAAAAGCAACCTCTGTTGCTAAGAAAACGGCACCCTCTCTTGGTCCAGCTCGAGGCTTATTGGACACGGCCAGAACAAACAAAAAAGACAGTTCAAGCTGACACTGCCGGTGCTATTACCTGTTGTCTGAATTCGCCAGCCTTAGGAGGGCGCCGTTGGTACCTTCCTATCTGGCTTGTGAGTTTTTCGATGACCTTTGACCGCAGGCCTTCATACTGCCAGACGGCTGCCCCAGCAAAACTACAACCAGTGAACTAAGAAAAAAGGACATTACAAAAAATCACAAATAGGCCACTTTATTTTTCAAATCACTTTCGGTTGCACAAAGATTAGTCAAACTCGGTAGTACCCTATCAACTTTTAAAAACAGTTAACACTTGCACTAAATTTCACTCTTGACTAAGTTGAGATACATGAAATATTAAAAGGCATCGACTGTCCGTTTTCAGTTATTTGAAGAAAGGGGAAACCTTCAAATGCAGTTTAACTACAAATGGTAAACGAATCTTACCAGGCAGGCAAAACCGAAGGGCTTGACAAGTGTTCTGTAAGGTAGCTTGACATCATTGGAATCATATCGGACAACAAACTTCTCCAAACTTCCCTTTTCAAATTTGGCATCGACTATCTTCTTTCCTTTTGCTGGTTTAACTTTTTTAACTAATCTTCCCCCGTCACCGGTGTCTCTTTTAAAGTAGCGGCTTGGTTGAACTTGTAAAGATCTGAAAATGGACACAAAACATGAATAAACCAAAGTTATGAAATTATAGAAAGCCTAGGCCCAACATCATAATTACATCACGGGCCTATTCCTACATCTATTTCACGAGCATCATCATTTAATACTGAAAACCCATTTCATTTGTCATGTTAGTTGGGCAAATTGACACGTTTCATTTACCCGCATTTCTTGCAGCTTTTCCTGATAAAAACCCTAAAAACACTCGTCGTTGACATCATACTTGTGTCTGTGTTAGATCTGGATACTTCAATTCCGACGAAAAATTCAATGGAAGAGGACAGAATCTTTCTAGGATTTCATCAGCCAATACTGCACTGGTAACAGTTCGTGTCGTCTGCTCCACAATTCTCCTCATGACTGGGTGAATGAACTTTCTGATTCACATAATTACTTCTTTCTTGACCAAAAGTACTCAATTTATTTTTCAGTGAATATTTAGAAATATCAATAAAGACTTTGACTTAATTTTAAGATATTATTGAAAATCAAACTCAAAATAAAACTCCAATTTGTGATACTTTTATACTCACAAATTTTACGAAATGAGGAAATTTTTGAAAGAGGGTGATATTTGCCAACATGTCGGACCCAGTGAGGCTGTTTAGTGCGAAAATGATGCGAGAAAAACTTAGTGCCTGGGAGCAAAAGAGCGACCCAAAAGCGCCCTTAAGTGACGTTCAGAAAGACAGTTTCATGGAGCTTACATCCAATGTCTCCAATAGGCCGTTGCCCATTGAGGTTAGTTTATTTTTTCGAAATATTCATTCTTTTCCTTTGGCACTCTGCGTTAGCATTAGTCACGCATGGTATATAGCCTAGGCCTACATAAATGAGAGAGGGTTGGTGGGGATTGCTGAGGAGGCGGGGCAAAGTAACAGATGAGGGGCCTGCATGTCAAAACTCACAGAATGCTGTGGCTATCTGTGAACTTTTAACGAAAGAAATGTGTAGAACTAGAAGAATAAAGACTCTGATATTATTTTGTTTAACTTTAAGTTTAATGAGACTTTGTTCAAATTTAACTGGGCCTAACTGATTTGAATTGTCATTCTACACTGGGCTAAATTAATTTAAACATAATACATTGTAGAAATGAAGTTCTTCTTCTTGCCTAAGTTTAACATGTTTAAGGCCTTTTGTTACTGTTATAAAATTTTTGTCAGCAGCAAGACTTAAAATTAAAAAACTATTGTGGTTAAGGATGAACCAAAATATTTTCACATATTTTTTACTTTTGTGGTTATTACAGCTGCCTTTGGATGAGCCAGGAAGTTTTTCCCAGCAACTGTCCATGCCTACTGTGCAGATTCCAACAGCTGGTGATAATGCGTTGTCCAAAGGCTTTGAGGCACTAGGGATGAAGGGTGACAAGATAGAGAACGCCCAGCAGGTAAGTTGGAGGGACACTGGTTGACATGGTTGAGTCAAAGAAACATAGTGAAGTTTGGTGTCAGAAGTGGGATGCAATATTTGAGGGTCACCATTTTGATGCATGTAAATTGGACTTGTAAGTTATCTGAGGAAGTACACATACTTATGAGCAATTTACCCTTTTCTGGTTTTTTTTTGGAACAGTTTTTTGCCTGGTTTAACAAAGTGGAGAGTCAGATGGACCATGATGAGGAGATATCATACAGGTAAATAAAAGAAAAATTGTGTAATGTCCTTTTGAACTCTTACACTGGTTCACATACCAGGTTTTTTTTTCACTATTAGGGTGTTTGGCAATTTTTCAAAAGCAGTGACAAGGACAAAGACCAACTTGTGTTAGGCCACTGTGCAACCAAGGTGACATCATTCTGTTTTAATCTGACTGATCATGTTTGCCGATTGGCTTCAGGCATTACTGTGACCAGCTGAAGGAGTACAGAGACCAGTGCGAGTCGGTCCTGAACGAAGTGTCCGACGCGCTGACCAATCTGGAGGACTTGCAGAAGCAGTATGTCCACGTGTCCACCAAGACCAACGCCCTGCACGAGGCCTGTGAAGAGTCGCTGCAGGACCAGGTATGACTCTTCCTTCGAGGCTGATAACGTTGCCCCGCGACTTCAACATCCACAACAAAACAAGGGGAGATGTAGACATATGAATTGAAATGTTCAGACCATGTGAAATATCAACTTCAGACAGTGCCATGAATGGATCTTTCTACTTTGTGAACAGGGCAGAAACAAACTCTCATGAAGTTCGTTTATATTTGTTTCTTTCTCAGACTACGCTTGTAAACAAGGCAGAAGCCATCAGCAGTAGGTTGTCGTATTTCAACGAACTGGAGAGAATAAATCAGGTAGGATTCCGAGAGAATTAACCCTCCTATGCTGAAGTCACTCTTTGGGTCATTTGGTAGACACCTCAAAGAAGCACAGTTGTGTCGTGTTGGGCACTGCACCAACATGCAAGAGAGTGACCTTGGGCACTTGTGCACATTTGTGCTGTAAAACCAAAGGAGGGTTAAAGGCTTGGCAAAAAATGATCTGACTGAATCTTAGCCCCACCTATTTCAGAACATGTGATTAAACTTAAAAATTGGGCTCTATATGCGTTAATCAGCCATACTTAAATTATCACAACACAAAGTGTTACTTTAAAGCACTTGTTTGGTGTAATTTTGAAGTTTTTATTTCCTACCTTCACAGAAGCTCAGTTCACCCACATTCTCTGTCACCAGTGAGTCTTTTGTCCCCATGCTGTCTAAGCTGGATGAGTGCATTGCCCACATCACTGTCAATGTGAGTAAAGGTTTTCCTGAGAATGTAAACATTTTCACACTAACGTTTTGCAGCAATGGGACAGTGGTAAGGCTTTATGTAATCAGATGGTTGGACAGAATGAGAATGCTTTAAAATTCTGTTTTCTATTTTTTTTTATGTTTCGATTGTTGGCAATTTTGTTTCTATTTTTTTGTTTTGATGTTTCGGAAATGGAATTTCTCAGTTTGTACCTTGTGTCGTCTCCCGTAGAAAAATCGACTAAATTTGTGTTCATTCCAAAGAAACTCCTGTAGTTATGCGTCAAAATTCCATGCCTTTTTTTCATTGTTGTAAACTGTGAATGTGACCGATAAAGTGTAACCCATATTGCAACATGCCTAGAAGTCTGGAGACACAGATTCTGAACACAGTGAAGAATACAAGGTGAGAGGCCATTTGAATCTGACTAATTCCCTCACCTGCATGTTTTCCATCACTCAACAATAAGTTCTCCAAACAGTTCACACTTATTAACATATTTGATTTTTTTCCTTTAGTGGCTATTTTACGCCCAATCCGTATGTGCCGTAGTATTAAAGTGTTGTGCCATATGTTTGCAGCTGTTGAGCTGTCAAGAATCAATACCTGAATGCAAAAAATTAGCAAGGCAAACTTGCATTTCATATCTAGGAAGCGGCATAAAGATGGAAGCTTAGAAACTGGAATGATTTTGCAATTAATTTAAGGTTCTTGTTGATTTAAGCACTATGTATTCTCACATTTGATAGAAGAAACGGATAAGGCGAAATGAGGCACAAGAAACTCACAAATAACTTGTAATAATAGATGCTTTGGTGAAGGAGCCCTCCGAAATGTAACGAGTCTTTTTTAGCTGATGCTGGTGGCATTTCATAGTCTTGGCATGTGAATCCCACTAAACAGTGCTCAGTAATCCATGCATGGTCCTGCATGCTCTGTACATGGAGTTCCTGTCTTTTTTACGTCAACCTGACTGTGTGATTGATGGAAGAAACAATTGGATGTTGAAGTTTTTTCAATGGGTACCTCTACTAAAGGAAATATTGCCATGAAACATTGCAAATGGAGAAAAGGATTGCATATTTTTCCCGTATTCAATCTTTGTACGCTGCTGCCATAGGCATGCAGAGCATCAATCTAGCAACTTTACACAATAATTAATGTTGCTTATGTAATTTTGCACGTGCTGCATCAGTTCTTACACCATGCGATTGGACAAAGTGACTCTGCTACCAGTTTGAGACTCTGCATGCCTATGGCGGCAGCGTGCAAAGAGCGAATACTTTTGCTTGTATCTTGTAAACATTTGGGAACGTCGCTCCTAAAAAACAGGCATTTTTGTCCTTGGATTTGCCCAACCAGTTGTGAGAATTTTCTTGGGGAAACATTTCACACGTCAGCATGGGGCTGTTGTTTTTCTGAAATCCAAAAAATCTCACCTTTTATTGTGCGGCAAATTTTATCCACCTGATTGTGTGTATGGAAAGCAAAACCGGAGTACGACATGTTTGCCGACCGGCTGTTTCTCCTTATCCATTAAAGCCACTTCATACTGGTTTGCCTACAAACGACACAAATTGGTCATTCAGAAAGGTTCCTGGTTTTTCCCCCATCCGGCAGCCCCACTATAAGGAGTCGGATGTTTACCAGGCCAAGTTCAAGCATTGCCTCACCAAGGCCTTGAGCGCAGTCAGGACCTCGGTCTTCAACATCCTGCAGAATGCCACACAGCAGGTGCTTCCTAAGAAGGTAAGGCCCTTTACTTAGCGAAGTGACCAGACCAACAGCGGAGACAGGATGGAAAAGCCTGAATCTTGATTTCTACTCTCTGGAAATGACTATAAGGAAATTCAAATGGGTAGGGTCTGTGATTAGAGTACCTTTTGCCCTAACTGTTTAAATTATTCGCCGCAAAATCTTAAGAAGATACATTGTAACACGCTGCTCAGAGATGGCATAAAAATTGGCTGTACTTTTGTAGGATTTGACTGCTGAGTCATCAGAAAATGCCTTCACGCTATTTTACGGCAAGTTCCGGAGTCAGGCACCCAAGGTGAAAGGAATGATGGAACAGACAGAACAGCGACTGGACAAAAGCTCAGAGTGAGTATCAGTGTTTTTGCTTGTGTACACCATCTGGAATTGAACCAGCCATTCAGTGATCGGAATCCAAATCTGATAATTGACTTTGTTTAACTTTGGTGTACACTTTGGAGCCCTATAAGTGGTTGGCTTTTATATATGCACAGACTGTTTGTGGATCACGAAATGGTACCAGATTTGCTGAGCTGTATCCTATGGTCAACATTGTGTTTTAATCATTGTGCTTGCAGGTACCAGACCTTGTTAGATGACTGTCACCAATATTATCTCAACCAGCGACAGCAACTCCTAGCACCCAGCATCACAGCAGCTGTCAGTGAGTTAGCAACCAAGCATGTCAGGGACCACTGTGCCCTGGTAGGTCCTTCTAGTCTGAATACACCATAGAACATGTAATGACAGGATGTTTCTGGCAATGAAACTAAAGATTCCTAGCAGGCATTGTATAGCACTTACCAAGCCTTAAGAAACTGATGTTAAGAAGACCACTTACAGGTCCTTGAATTAAAGCCATCCTTCTGTTTACAGAAACGGTTTTCTTTTATTCACAAAGTCACTCCTTTTTTGGCAGGTTCGCAGTGGCTGTGCCTTCATGGTGCATGTTTGTGAAGACGAGTACCAGCTGTTTTTCCACTTCTTCTCAAGGCCGACTGACAAACTTGAGTAAGCCCTCATACTTTCCTCATCGAATTGGTGTTTAAGAACTGAAGGATGTGACATCATCAAGACCAGAATCACTGATCCTGAAACCTTCATTCTAGTGCTATAGCAGCGATCCTTGGTTTTCTGATAGCATTTCTTGTGGCAAATACTGAAATGTCTGGAGAGTTCTGGTGTAGCAGGGATCACTGACGTCGTTTCCTCATCTTGTTTGCAGTACCATGCTGGAAGGCCTGTGCATGAGTCTCTATGATGTTCTGAGACCTTTGATCATCCACATCAATCACCTCGAGACACTCGCCGAGCTCTGCAGCATCCTCCAGATAGAGATGCTCCAAGACCACGTTCTGACCAATCGTAAGTTATCAGTGAATTTGAACCGCAATTTATTTTCCAGATTGTGCTTTGATTAATTTCAAACGAGGGTTTCAAATTGATTGTGCACTTGAATAGCATGAAAATTTGAAAAAAGTAATACACATTATAAAGCAGTCTGTTCTCATTGCTTCGCCACAGTCTGATAAAAAAAATCTTTGGATGGAGTTTATGAAATAGCTGTAGAGGGGGCCTCATGTGAAGGACTCAACTGCAATGCTTCCAAAAATCCTTGAAATTAGCCTTTTTTTAGGTCACCCTTGCCTACAAAGAGACAGAGACTACCATGTTGCAATTTTTTTTCACAGCCGATGAACTGAAAGCATTTGAGACAGTGAATCGTCAGATGTTGGAAGATGTGCAGATGAGGTTGGTGTACCGGGCCAGCATCTATGTACAGACAGACATACTGAATTACAAGCCGGCACCGGGTGACCTGGCCTACCCGGAGAAGCTGGAAATGATGGAGGTAGGTAGTCTCCTCACATGATCTGCTTTTGGGTAAGCTTGTCATGTCACATTCTTAGGATCTTTGGAAAGCTCTACAATCTCGCAGTTGAGCATGAAGTGTCGAAGAGATGGCCCTTCACAGCTATTTTACCATCCAGAACTTATTCCAATCAGAGGAACAAATCGCCACTGTTTTCAGATTCCTGCGAATCTGTGTGTGAACTGTGCATCCCCGTTCCTTCATTAAAGTCCCGAATCGCCATCTCATCTGTCCTCAGAGCATCTCGGAAAGCCTGAAAGAGAAGGAACACGAGAAGGCCCAGTCCCGGAGAGGCTCGGGAGACTCCCTAAGCTCCTCAATCAGTCAGGAGGTAGCCACCCTCAGCGGAGGCACACCAGAGGGTGCCCCACCAGACAGGAACGACTCACCTGAAGGGGAGGGGGAAAGTGGAACACTGCCCCCAAAACCTGTCGGTTAGTGTGGAGCTCAATTTCTGCGTCTCATTTAACTGAGAAACCACACTGTACTTGGTCCAGTCAGTCGTTAGCAAGCCAAGATTAAATAGTTCATCCATAGTTAACGACTTAAAAGAGAAGCTTATAGAAATGCTGAATGATTTCATATTCTGTTGTTTTGTTGACTTGCTCTTCAGGGCGCACTGTGATTCAGCCAAGCCAGCCTTCCACCAATCTCTCGCCAGCTGACCTCCACGGGATGTGGTACCCCACCGTCAGGAGAACCCTGGTCTGTCTATCCAAGCTCTACAGGTGTATCGATGTAAGACCCTGTCAAAATGCTCTGATCCGACTTCACTAGCCCCTTACACACTGGGACCCTCTTTTAGAAAAATCCTAAACTTGCCAACAGTTGAATGACATTTAAAGAGGCAGGTATTTGCAAATCGATGCCAGACTAATCTTTCCTTTCTGCATTTTCCCCCATAATTCCAGAAAGCAATATTTCAAGGTCTATCCCAGGAGACACTGCTGTCTTGCATCCAGAGTCTGGTGACAGCTGAACAGGGCATTGTCAAGCGTCAGGTGAGGCTCAAAGAGCGTAGAAATAACAATCATGCCGGGGCAGATCTGATCCTTTCAAAATTTCAGAGAGATAAAGGGTCTCTTCCTGATTTTTTCCTCTGTATCCTTTTTCTGTAGACGGAACTTGATGGAATGCTTTTCCTCATCAAGCACTTACTGATCTTAAGGGAACAGATTGCTCCATTTCAAGTGGAATTTTCCATCAAGGAAACAGCACTAGATTTCTCCACTATGAAAGGTAGGTCTCTAATGCATACATGTTAGATATTTGAGTCTGTCTGCTTGAATGAAAACTTATTTTATATCTGAAGACTTTACACGTTTTTCTTATAAAACTAGTGTTGTGCATTTTCTTCTTGGTAAGTTATTTTATAATTCTTTCTCCATTTATAGTCGCTGCTTACAGTTTTTTGAGTAAGCGATCTCGGATATTTTCGCTTAGCAGCAACAATGCATTCCTGGAATTCCTTTTTGAGGTAAATAATAATTTATTCATGAGAGCAAATTGAAATCTCACCTTAAAGCATGAAGTTACTGACTTTATTTTACAATTTCTTTTTAATTTTTTCTTTTCAATTATTCCAGCAATTCTTTTAAATATATATTTACATGTGTCTTTACACTACTTTTAGGAGCTATTCTAATCATTTAATATTGGACAGAAGAGCAATTTCAAAATACTTCATATTGTTTCAAATATCAAAATCTTCTTTGTGATTGACAAAATTCTCGTCATTCAAATCATTTTCCCAGGGTGCGCCCAACGTGACAGAACATTTCCTGGACTCCAAGAAGGACGTAGACACGCAGCTGAAAAAGACCTGTGAGCAGTTCATCAAGCATGTCACCGACACGCTTATACCTGAACTCAATTCCTTCTTAACAAAGGTCAGTGCTCACATTTGTTTATCACCCTTTGCTTTGAAGTGACATCTTTAAGTAAGAAAATCGCCAATCTGTAGAACGTCTGTTTTTCGAAGAGATAATTGAAGACAGAAAAAACTTGTATGTAGATTACATTGTGTTAATTAAGAATTTTACTGTTAACGTCATTGAGTTCTACAGTAAACACAGATGAAACTGTAACAATTTTTGCAGGCAACTGTGATCATAGACATGAACAAGGAATCTGAGGCAGCACAGGTGTCATTAAGAAAACAACCCTTTGCGACTGCAGGTAAGGTCAATGAGTTTCCTCAATGTGGTAGAAAAAAACTTGATTGACACTTAGTGTTCATTTTCAACTCCGAGGCTGAGGGCCATTGCCTAATGGTCAGTTTGAGAACAGCACCTGCGTTCTTACGTATACTAGGCCTTGCCAAGGAGTAACACAACTTTGATCAGTGTCGTTACCGTCCACCAGGAAGTGCACACCATTTTGTCAATTGCATTTTTTGGGTGTTTTTTTTGGCCTTGGCACAGAGAAAGTGCATGAAGTGGTGAGCGCCACCTACAGGCAGGTCAAGTCCAGGCTGCCGTCTGTGTTCAGGAAGATGTCGCTCTACCTGGCCAATAAGGACACAGAGTACATACTCTTCAGACCTGTCAAGGTTGGTTGCCTTTAGATGGGTCAGAGGTCAGCCTCAAGATGCGCACAGAAAAACTTTGCCAGTTATAAAAAAGAAAAGACTTGTTTTCACAAAGCCCCTCAGCCAGCAATTTGGCCGTTGTCGTTATGCCTGGTGTGGTCGGAGGCAGAGTAAAATTTTTCGCTGTTGATGTGGGTGGCAGCAAGGCAGCACCCTCCGTAATGATATTGGGCAATGTTCTATTAAGGCATCACCACATTAACAGGGGTCACATTTATGGGGCCTTTGTGTTTATTTTTAGACTGTTGTCAGTGTGGTTGGATACTTTCTGCATCCATCCCTCCTTAGCCCCGTCTCATTTCTTGTCCCCCATCCCCGAACCTGTCACAGACATCCCTGATGTCCCACCAGAGATGTTTCCTTTTTCACGAAATGAGACTTGTTGTTTTTTTTTTCCGTGTTTCAGAGTAACGTGCAGCAGGCTTACCAGCAGTTTGAGGGCCTTGTCAAGGAGAATTACCCCGAGGAGGACCAGCAGATCATCGGCTGCCCCACCATGGAACAGGTAGGAAACCTGTTTCGATTCTCTTATTAGCCGTAGGCATACTCGCTTGAGGGCTCTGTTACAATGACCTGCAGAAGATTTGTTGGGTAAATTGAAATAAAGATGACAGAGAGGTTCATAAAGGTCTTTCTTGTCCGATTATTAACTTTAAGAAAATTTTAAAAATGCATTTTATATGATCATTTGTGTTTCTGTAAGTGTACTGACTTTACTAAAAACAAGTTGCATCGGAAACCTTGTATAGGGATTGATGGCATGCGTCTTAGCATAACACAGAGGGATCTGAAGAGATTTCAAAACATGCTTGTTTTTCCTATATCGGGGTAATGCTTATAGTTAACCTGTGATGTTTAACTAGTACTCCCAGAAAGTCATATTGCATTTGTTGTATTTGGCAAAGGTCATTTATCATATTTCATAAATAAAATCATGACAGGCTAGAGCTTCCCCCCCTCCATAAAATCCCCAAATAAATAAACCTGTACTGAAATCAATCACAGTGAGTGCAGATTACAAGCTTCCTGGATGATTATCAGTTCAAGACTTTCATAACAAGGAGGCAAACAGTAACAATGAAACATGTCATTTGGCTTCGCAACAACCTGACAGAAGCAGCTTCCCGAGTGGATTTTGCAAGTCCCATGATGGTCTTTGGTCAGATCCATACTACTTAGTACCAAGCGCAGGCCGCAATTTATCTCCATCATTACACCGAGCATCGGGTGGCAACCAATGTAAATGGTTGTCACAGAAAGTTCCAGTCGGTCACCGGCTTAATGGGGGTCATTGAGAGAAATTGTTTGCACTGTTGGAAGGTAGCCCCAGCAATCACCATTACAGTTCACAAAAGGCAAAGCTTTCTATTCTTTGTCAAGAGAGGGGTGCAGAAGTTTGCTTTATATCAAATTCTGATTACAGATGCTGTTTGTAACACAAAACCAAAGTCTAGGCTTGTGCAGAAATGTAATTGCATGTATTACACATTTATATGTAATTTTAGGTTTTTTCAGTGCTGTGTTGCGCTTCATCAAATTGCTAAATATGAGAACTGAGTTAGGTATAAGTTGAACAGTATATATGTAGTTACATGTAGTTACATGTAAAGTATATTTAAAAAAAAATCACCTGTTTCGCTTTGTTGGTTCCAGCCAAGTGCTGTTGCTGCATCACCGTCAAACCTATTAATCAAGGGGTTGTTTCAGGATAAATCAACAGAACAATGACCCCAATAAAAGGCATGATTTCCTTCAATCCGATGCACTTAAAAATGACTCATCTCATTTGGAGGAGGGCATCAGGGGTCATTTTCCATTCTCACATTGCCCACACGTTGAATTGCTTTGAAACATTCCACCGCTGAGGGCCTGGAAGCTCTCAAGAGTTTTATTTAGTGACCCCGGCTTGTTTGATTAGCTCTCCAGAGCACCTGTTCAATCTGCTAAGAATATCCCATCGTAATTTTTTGAGAGAGAGAGACGGGGAATGCATATTTCTCGTAGGAACTCTACTTCGATTGCCACTTGTGGTTGCAGGCTGTCAACTCTGTCTGCTTGATCTGTGATGACTGCACGTGATTGAGGGCCCTTTAAGCTAGCATTCCTGGCAGAGATTGCAGAGTAGTGGAGATTTTCTGTGTGTGGAGTGATGGAGATTTCGACAGTGGAAAAACAGAGAGAATACCAGATGTGCTCATGCATGTACATACTGCATTTGGGTTTACTGCAAATCACATTGTGTTTAGTTAGAGGCTTTCTTTGATTGGAAAGGCAGAGTGGTATTTGAGAAGGTGTTAGTAAGGGCAGTGCCCCTTTTATTGGCTGTGTGCAGAGGGTTGAGGACTCTGTTTAAAGGATCCGTGAAGATCTCCGTGGACAAACTGTTATTAAATTGTTTAAAATAGTCACTAATATGCCAGTAACACGATAGGGGATGTAAAAAAGGAATAAGATTCCCTTTGTCGTGGTTAATTTTAGTTACCCCTCAAATTAATGTTTTAATCCTGACAAATGATGGCGCTGTGTGGGACGTACGATTGAGAACCCATAATTATAGTCAGGCACCCTTTTGGCACGTCTGGAACAGAGAAGAACATAGACACTGGACACTCATAATTTCTGCAGAAGGTTCAAACGTAAAATACATGTCCACATAAACAATGCCCGCACCCTGTAAAAGCATGCACACATGCTGTGCCCACCACTGTATGGGCAATTTCACATGAGCGCCGGGCTGATTTGGAAGCATTTCATACCTTTTGTCATTTGCATTTCATGAAAGCTCCTCTCCGTCTTTGTTCACAGGATTTCTTTGATTTTTTCCAAAGATCATGGACGTGGCATCTGACTTAGGCAATCATTTGAATGTAATCCCAAACGAGTTATTCATGTTTGGAAGAAAATACTGCGGCTAGAATTGCGCGCTGCACAGTTTGGAGCTCGCTGTCGGTCCTGACCATTTGGCTCTGGTCAGCGTGACTTTTGATGTCAAAATTTGTCTAAATTTCGCTTGGGTTGGAAAGTTATGCAGGCTTGTCCAATCTTTATAGGTGTTGCCACAGGCTGTAGCAACAAATTCAGTTGGCATGAACTCTAAACGCACCCAAAAATTGGACTGAATTTTCCGAAATCAACCCAAGACAAGCATTCATGCGGTAACAGTGTGTGATGATGTCTTCTCAAATGTACATCATAGACATGCAAATTTTCTATGCCTCTTGGAGGCGGGGCCATTTTGCCAAAAATTTGTTTTGATTTTTTTCCCATTCATTAATCAAAACAACAACGTTTACATTCTGGATACCCTTTACAAAAACATACAATTTTCAATTATAAATCATAAAAACCACCTATCATGGGGCCCTTTAATCCTCTTGTACTATGTAGCAAGTTGGGGCTAGTACGTGGTGGTGCATATAAAGACAATGTCTCAAGTCTGCAACAAACTGCACGTATGTGAACAGTGTTGTCTCACCCGACCATGGGCACAGGAAGGAAAGTGGTCCTTCACCTTGACATTCAGTCGTTCAGTTTTGGCCTCCAGAGGGCTCACTTGTGCACTTAGTCCATTCCTCTTGCATCAATGTGTCGGTGCTGTCGCATGCACACTAGCATTGTTTGTCCTTGCTAGGCCTAACGCATCCGTTATTGATCATCAAGCGCTGAAAGAAAAACTTGAGCAAGGTTCTTTGAGTCAGGCGAGTATCCTCATTTCTCAGTGTCTTTCTCATTCCCTGGCAACAGTTCAAGCAGATGATCCTACAAAGCCACAATGCTCACACTCCTCGAAACCAGACCAGGAAACTCACCAAACTAATCTGATCCATTTTTTTTTTGGTTTTTATTATTTCAATGGAAGTATCTTGAGTTTGTTGTTATAAATACCGGCACTCTTTGCTGATGACGTTTGTTGAGGTATGAAGGAAGTTGACTGGAATTTGAACCGCTACCAAGTGAGCTATCCGACAGAATGTTGGCAGCCCTCTGACAATATTAATCAACTCTATTGCAAACTTGTATTAAATTTCCTTGTGGTAATCATTAAAATTAAATCTTGAGCAGCTGTGACCTTTGTTGCTCAGGAGAAAAATTTCCTGATGCTCATATTGTTTGAAACGACATACCAGAGAGATAATTAGGGAACATGCCAGTTGGATTGATTTTTTACCTTATTTCTTTTGATGCTTAAAACCTACTGCAGCAAAACTGACATTCCAGGCTGTTGTTTGTAACATGATTGAATTATGGGAAAAACACCGAGTCATTTCGTTTCTACCGCTGCGTGCTTCAGTGCTTTTGTGTTCAGCGGACATCTGACCAAATCCATTCAAATCAAATCAGGCCTGTGCTCCACGTTGTCAGTGATTCAGTTTGTCGAGAAGTCTTGGAGGCTTTGACCAGGCGGTTGTGACACTTGTCTGCGTACACGGAAGGCCGTTGTTCATTCAGGCTGAGTGTCTTTAACAGCAAGTTTCAAGGCACATCAGCGTTTGAAGGTTCTTGGCGTGGTGTTTTCTCAAGCCCTAAAGCTTTTCCTTGAGAGGGGAAGAGGCGGAGAGGGGACATCGAGTTTTGGAAACACATTTGAACCAGACATTGTTTTTTTTCTCAGGGCTGCATGGTAAACACTCAAAGAAAAAAAAAAGAGAAAAACTTGCAAAGTTTATGGTGATCCAGTTCTGGGATTGTCAGTGTTTGTAAGTGGAGTGATGGACAGTGGTAGGGTCTTTGTGGTAGAAGGTCGTTAGACAGATTTCCTCCTCCATTATTTTGCCAGCTGTCTCAGTTGTCTAGAAGGGAAACGGCTTTGCACACCCTCCACTGCGATGCCATCGTGATGCCACGTCGACAGGAAACAAGCGGTCCAGCGGTTGGGCGATCGGCTGAGACAGAGTGGATCACACTGTCTGTGAGGCTGTGAAGAGTAATTTGGATTGTATGAATGCAAGCTCCAGAATCAATAGGATGTCACTTTGGATAAGACAAGATGGTAGAGGTTGTTATTGAAAGGATGTGTTTACAAACGACAGAAGAATATCACCAATTCTAGGAAGTACACTTAGGAATGGATGAAACAGTCTTTAGTTCAATAATCAGACCATGACGATGGTCTGTAGAAGTAAAGCAAATTGTGTGCTTGGAAAAATTATAAATTGTATTCCAATAGTAAAACTTTTATAATTAAATATCAGGACGTCTTTTAAGCTTTGAAGCTTTTCATGGTGAAGGTAGCAAGTTAGTTATAGAGGTTTGCGGTAACCATGCAATGATACCTCTTTCTGAGCACGCGTGGTTCTAAAAAGAATCGGAGGGTACCCAGCGTTTCAGACAGTATGCTCTGTCCATATGCAGGAGACTGCCGAACTCACAGGAAGTCTTTCTCTGAGGTTCCCAGTAATTTAATAAATTCTGTCTATGGATTAACCATCGTATGTGAGGCCAAGAAGTGTCAACGGGCACACTTCAACATGTAAAAATGAAATTTCCAAGACCCAAATTATTTGATGTAAAATTGGTACAGAACAAGACTTTTTTGTGTCTATAGAAGCAGATGATTGTAATCATAATCACAGAAATCAATGCATACACTTGGCTCATGTCAGAGGGGCAGATGAAGCAGATTGTGGGCACTGAAGCCTCCTCTGCATTAGAGGACACAGCTGTGATGCATTGCCGGGATATTCAAATTAGAAGTGGTTTGTCATCCAATCAGATTGTGGAGTCAGGCTGGCAGTGCTAAATGGCTCATAAAGGAAAAAAAAAGAAAAGAAAAAGAGAGGGCCTTGCCAAATATTAACAGTGTGGATGGAGTTGGTTGCCATGGTCGCAGCCAATCAGGTTATAGCTACCAAGGAAGCATTTGCATAGCTTTCTGATGCCACATTTCTATTCCAAATATTTACATGTACATCAGCACATGGTGATTTCACAGCATATTAAACCAGCTTTATGCTGAGTATTTCTCATTCTGCCTGGGGGTGGTATCAAACCCTACCCTACCCTAGCGTAATAAATTTGCCCTCTGTGGAAAATGTTTCCTTTGTATAAAGTGAAGCAGCGTGCAGAATTTACGATTTTGTAAGAAAACTGGAGATGTGTGTGCGTGCAGTTTACTACACCCCATGAATTAGAACATGTATTTTAGGACACGACCGTGCTTTTCCCGTGTCACTGGGCCATCCGACGATTAAAAGCCGTGAATGATCTGTTCTTAAGATAAAAAGCACAGAGAGGAGGAGAAAAAGAGAAAGCAAATCAGTGGTTGCTAAGCAGTTGTTTGAAGGAATGATGAGAATGTGCATTTAGGGATTGAGGCGCGGTAATTGACGGGTCCTTGAGGTGGACGATTTCAGTAGCCACTCACCAGTTTGGAGGAGGAAAAAAAAAAACACGGAGTCACCTGAATCCAGGAAAACAGTTTTCCCCATGGACTCCCGCATGCCGCCACGCTGGTGCGGTGGCCTCAGCGAGGATTACTCATCAGTGACTTGGTAGCAACGGACGACACAGATACCGACACAATGTCAGTAATTACTGGCGTATCTCCCTGCGGCACCGACGTCATTTCTTCAGCTTAAGTTTTCCGGTCTCTCTTTTCCATCTGGTCTCGGCGCCTAATGCTCAACAGAACCTTGACTCAGCTCTGGGATTATCAGAGTTCTTCTTAATGTGCCCTGAAGCATTGCTACTGAGTAACAAGAGTCGGCTCTATTCATTTTTTCCATGCGAATTTTTACAAAAAAGAATATCAGTTTTAATCATAATGTTTGTCAGCATCCACCCACGGAGGTATTGCCCCCTCACCAGTGTTTGTTCAACCCTGGAATATATTTTGCAGCTTGTTTTCATGAACACAGTTGGAGGAAAAAAAACTTTGAAATTACCTGAACTGGGTCAATTCTGGGAGTGACTTTTGGAATTGGACAAAGGGACTGCCACGCATTGTTATATAGGCCATCGCTTAGCAATCGGCTCTCTTCACAGTTGATGCATCCTTCTTTTGCAAACTAACTCGGGTGAAACAACGTCTGCCCAAAGAGATGGGTTTCAGAATTGGATTATTGCACTGTTTTGACGTGACTGCCGCTTCTTGCCTCCACTGGGACTCTAACCTATTTTCAGACCACCCTGCAAACACCACAGCTTCATAAATATAAAGTGGAATTAGGCAACCCTTGCGCTAGACGCTTGTGTCTTTATCGCGGGAAAATAAGTGAAGAACTTGGCATCCTCATGCAACTTGAATACGTAAACAGCAAGTTTTTGGATCTATAAATTTACAGCAATACTGAAGAGGGCACAGTATGGAGGTTGGGTCTCATGAATCAGACTTGGAAATGATTTTTGTGTCTTCAGTCGCAAATAGGTGAGAGAACTGACATTCATCTTTAAGAAAACTTGAGTATTGGAGAAATATTTTCTTCCGTACTTTGCTTGAACAAAAGTGAAACTTGTCTCCTTTGGAAGGCAAAGCTAAAGCCACTGTTTTGGACTGGGATTGAATTTCCTCACATAGTGTTGTGGTTATCCAAGTTGGGAATCTATGGCAAGGAGATGTCTGCACCAAACAACTCCCTTACCAGTACAGTGTTACTACCCACGAACCAATTTTTGGTGGACGCACCTTGCGCCACTCAGAATTCCAGCTCAGACATCGGCATCTTTGTGGTCTTCTTAATCCTGGGCATCTTGATTGTCATCGGCAATGTTGTGGTGCTCGTCGTCATCCTCAAGAATGAAGTGCTCCTCCAGACGGGCTACTCTTACATCATCAGCTTGACCGTGGCCGACCTGCTAGTGGGCATCAATTGTGTCATTGAGGCGGTCATGCTGCGGGTGGCCGTGCCAGAACCCAAGTGGTGTCTGGTCCGCATCGCCTTCCTGATTCTGGCCTCCTTGGCCAGCATCCTGAGCGTTTTTGGCATCGCCTATGACCGCTACATCGCCATCACCAACCCCATGGTCTACACGCAGCGGGTGGGCCAGTTCCAGTCGCGAGTCATCGTCACCATCATCTGGATCGTGGCCCTGTTGATTGGACTAGCCCCGCTGATGGGTTGGAGCGACGTGTCGGTGTACGCGGGCTGCTGTCAGATCCTGCGCACCTTCATCGGCAGCTACATGCTGTTTTTGACTTTTGCCTGCTACATCCCACCACTGCTCGTCCAGCTCTACTTCTACTCCTGCATCCTGCAGATCTCCCGTAACCAGGCGCGCCGCATCGCAGACCTCCAACGCAACACCTGCGTGGTGCGCAATGTGCGCACCTCCCGGACCCACAAGGCGCTGAAGACCTTGACAGTCGTCATTGGTTGTTTTGTCCTGACCTGGACCCCCTTTTTTGTTGCTCTGGCCATCCACGCCATCTGCGCCGAGTCCTGCAACCTTCACACCATCATCCAGGACTGCCTCGTCCCACTGGGATTCACCAACTCCTTCCTGAACCCTTTTGTCTACGCCTTCTGGAGCCGGGATTTTCGGGAGAGCATGCTGGTGATAAACTGCTGCACGGAAAGGAATCGGGAGAGACTGGTCCGAGTCTGGACGATCAGGAGAACCACACGGGTGACCGTGGTCTCGCAACGAGTCAGCAGTCACTCAGAGATGAACACCAATAGGCACATTGTGTACCTGTGATTACATGGACCAGTTTGCAAAAGCAGCCACCTTGTATGCAGATAAACATATCTTACTTCAGTTCCACAGCATTTCACAATTAGAAAACCATAAATGGTCACTGAAGTCCATTTCTGTACCATACTTTTTCCGAGTCATTTAAAATCCAATTCTAAACTGCCCTCCAGTAGGAAATATTTTGTAGTTTTTCAAAATCTGCTACACAGAGCTCTACAGAAAGTGATTTTGGCTGGGTTTTACACAAAAAATAAAGTGTTGGATTCTGAATGATAGGTTAAGCCAATCTTTAAAAATGAAAAGATCCAGCTATTGATTTACCATCTTAGTTGTTGCAGCATAGAAGCTGTCATGATCATGTGCCTGGAATTTGTCCCCTCAAAAACTTGAGGGGAAACTTAAGAGGTTTTATATTTGAATTATGCTTTGAAAAAGCCGCATCTCCTTGGTTCTCGTTCATCGCCAATAAAAAGGCACTGATGACATTTTCTTTATTTGATTTCCAAAAGCTTTATACCGATAAATCCACAATCCTTCAATTAGATCAAAACTCTCCCTCCCCCAAGTTTTTTTGCAATTTTGTCTTGCATCTCTATCTCCAAAGCAAGAGTCTTGGTACATGTACATCTCGAAGCAGGGCTTAATAACTATTCACTGGGTAGGAAACGTGTCCAAAATATCTGTCAAACTGGTGAGGTTTATTCGAAAATGTTACACGTGCAATCAACAGCCTCAAGGCACAAAAAGCTTCTGTGTCATGAGTGCCCCCCAAAAAATCTGACACACTAATTGCTCACACCGTTTGACAATTTTTCTTTAACTGTAACATGTAAAAATGACCTCTCTCATCAATGTCTGTAACGTAGTGTCAGTCTTTTTTAAAGTACAAAACGTGCAATGTGTAAGTGCCACACATATTTAGAATATGTTTTAAGGTCTACAGTTAACTTCATTTGACCAGTGAAAATATTCTTTTATTTGATAAAGTTATTTATTAATGCATTCTAACTGCATTTATGCTTCTGACGTAAAAATTGTATCTGAAATGTGGCAAAGCTTTTTTTAATACTCTTGTGAACTGAAACAACAGTTAGAATAACTAGCTTTTAAAAATTTTGCACCAAAAATTGTTTATAAATATGAAGGAAAGTTTGAGAGCGTCAAACACCAATGACAGTCAAAGCTAGTAAGAACAGTTACTATGAAAGATTCTTATGTGATATGAAAAAAGAGTAACTACAAAAATTGTTAGTTTTTGAAATGTTTTTTTTCACATGTTGGTATCCAACAATAAAATTTGTGTATTCTGTCCATTTGGGAAGACATGTACTTCTCTGTGTCTTTAATAGGCGCCCCTGATGCAAAGCAAGTTTTCCCAATCATTTCTCACGTGTTAATTGTGCAATAGGTGTTGATTTTTTAGCTGCGCCTAGGAAGTCCTTGTGTGGGTTGGTTCATCCTCATTTATTAAAGTGAAGTCATTATTAGGTCCGTGGAAGTACCTCTTTCGGGGGAAATGTTTTCACAAAATTAGTTGTTTTTTTCCCCCCAGATTTTTGGGACTATTGGGGGGTTACTCTCAAGTCTTGAAGTAAGATTTCTTGTCCTTGACTTGTCCTGACAGCTTCAGAATTGACGATTTAGTTTGGTTTTTGTCCTTGTCTCATAAGCTGCTTCCATTTTTTTTATTGAGTAATTAATCTCCATATAAAAATTCATTGGTTTTTGAATCACAAACTCATTTCCAGTTTGGGGACAGTAGCGACAGATTCCAACATCTTATCCGAATTCCTAAGGGGCTACTAAAGCCGACTTGATCCCCGGTGGTGGTTCCGTGCTCATGCATTTCAAGCCTTGAATTTCTCTTCTTTGAATACATTAATCTTTCTTACAGAGAAGATCTGAATATTCCAACAACTGAATTTCCAACTGACCTTTAAAACTAACTGTAATTAAAGTTTGGACCTTATTGTGTTTTTTTCCTGAAATCTTTTGGTTTCCAAATCCACTTACATCATAAATGTACTTGCCAGGCCTCCCACTCACAAAATGAACTAAAACTGAGGTTTTAATATCACTTTGAAGCTGCGCTTTGCCATTTTCAAATGACTACATCAGTCTCCCCTGCTTGATAATCTGAGAAGTTTCCAAGGTTATTGATAAGGTGAATTTTTTTTTTAATTTGGTAAACAGAAGTCCACACTAAGTTTCAACCAGTACATGCCTTTTGGTGGACCCGTTAGCTGATGAACAGAATGCCGTTGAAGCTACACAGGGGCCCTACCAGTCAATCATAGATGCCGCCCCCTCTAATTGTACTGCCCCCGTATGAGAAACTCCCTACCCTACAGACACACTTCATAGACTCCTTTCCCTGCCTCCTTTAAGCCCCTGCCGGATGATTCCAAACCCACCTCTGAGTTTCTGAAGGAGCGAGGAAGCTTGAGCCAGCCTTTTTGTCTTCCTCAAAACAACTACTAAAGAGCGCAGGTTTCTGTGAAGCATGCATGAAATGTATTTCGGAAATTCATTTACTGCATTTGATTGAATGGTTTTGGTTTGTGTTAAAAACACTCACAAAAGTGAAACCCTTAAAATTAATCCTGTCCTTAAAAAGAGAACAGGGGAAGTTGTATCCTAATAAAATAGAAGAGTTTGTCTCAACACACTCAGCCAGCAAAAGTCTACTCGTGAATTTACAGTGCACCAGCTTGTCAAAGACCCAGCCACTGTCAAATTAAATTGGAAATTGCCTCGAGTTTGATTTGCCGCAGACATTAAGCAAATTTGCGAGGGGAGGCGTGGTGTGCAGATTGGAGAGGGAAAAAAAATAAGCTTCTGACGGCAGAGACAACTTACCCCACGTGCATTCAGTTGAGGTGATAATTTTCCGTAAGAGTGGGTGTAAGATTTTAAGGAACTGCTTTCGACTCTGACAGCTGGGGTGGCTGGTCAGCTCTTTCCGCTAGGGATTGATCCTGAGAACTTTCAGATGGCAGTCTACCTAAACGAATGGATGGATACCAATTTATGGTTGCTTGGTGTACTGATTAAATCGAGTGTTTGATGCAGTCTTCAGAGCTTCCATGATGTTGTGAGCGCTCACATAGTGACTAGTTCTTTGAAGCCCAATAAAGTTAACATGTTGATCGCCTGAGATGTGCTTACACGCACTGTTAATTAACTTCACTGCCCAGTACCACACCTTACTCAGCATAATAAACATGAGAAGTTTAGAACCAACTAAAATAAAATGTAATTTGCCTGAAATTGCACTTCCCAAGGTCCTAGAAAGTCAGTGTCACATACATGTAGCCGAAGATAAGCCCCTTATCCTCGTGGAAATTGGACATGGCAGTCTGGTGACCTTATGAGCACATTTTTGGAACAAACTACAGAACACTGTGGACCAGACTGGAAAAATCTAGCTGTCTTTCTTAAAGATGGAAATATAAATGCCAGACTGAGGAACCAGGTGGCTGAATTTAGACATCATTAGATGGCCAAACTGGGTCAAAAAATGTTGTGGCCAATTTTGTACAAATCCGTCTGCCAGACTGGACAGTCCAGTGGCCAGACTATTAAATATCCTGATGACATAAGGGCATCTTACAACCATGTTATTGCAGGTCACCCAACACAGGAAAACATAATCTAACAAGTTTATCTCTTCCTAACTTGTTTGCTTTCCTGCCATGTCTTCATATATGCACATCGTCACTCGGGACTGGACATACATACATATATTTTCACACTGTCTTCTTTGCCTATTCCCCAAACCTTTCAAGAAGACAAATTTGCACTAGGGAGGCTGTTCCCTCCCTGAACACACTCTGTTCACCAAACAGTGAAACACAACTCCAACAGTATTTACAGGGATTGCTGGACCCGAACTCACTAGATCCACAATTGCCTTTCCCTTAAGCAAATGAGCAGCACAATTGGCTTGTCACTAACCGTCTCCAATGTACGGCGTCCATCGTCCATCTTAAACAAACAATGAGCTTGACTGAGGCCTGGGGCTTCTGACATAGAAAGCAGCAAGAAGACCGAATTCCATCAAATCCTCCGTGCATCAAACGAAGAGCATTCAGTCATGTTTAATAATTAAAGAATTTAAAAAACACAAACAGAAACAGTTGTTCATTAAATGTGGTAGAAGTTTAATGAAAGCTGTGACACTTACAGGAAAGTGAAAAAAAGAAAGAAAAGAAACCAAAAGCAAAACTGGCCGACCCCAAATGCACTTTGGAAAGCCTCCATCCCTTTACACAATTTGCTCAGCCCCTCTTTCAGTACTCCTTTGATGGTATCTTCACATCTATCCATTTTCCCACAAGCACAAAGTGCTTTGCACTTTCAATACTCCCCACAGAGACATCAAGCATAGGTCCCAGCCCCACAACTTTGTGCCTTTAGTTATTAACTATATTGATGCACAACCAGCATTTGACGGAGTGAGAAACAAAACCGACACCTGCGTTCACAGTTCCACATGCCACTTATTGATCTGTGTCTGCAGATATATTTTTCTTCCAACCGTATCCAAATGTTGCAGGTCAAGCCTTCCCCCTCTTCCAAAGAAACAGATCAGATTTTTCGCCTCCAGTATTCCTGTTGTAAATAGAAATTGAACCATAGTCGCAATTCCAACTTATGTTTGATGCAAATTTAATCATTTCCATGCCAATGGAAAACAAAAACAGTATTTATAGTTGTACAGTATGATGTAAACAAGCTCTCAAGGTTTCAGTTTCATTCTTGCTATTTTTTTACTGAAGATTTGTCCAAAATCCTCCATATCTTTGTGTAGGCTTTTAGTTGGTCTGAATCAGTTGTGTGAGTGAAAAATTTCTTGAAAAACTCAATGTTCACAAAACAGGGAGGCCCAGCTAGGCTTGTTTCCACACCTTTGCCGTGAACAGTTTAAAGATGCCCCATCATCGCCCGAGAACGCACTAATGAAGTTACTGTGAATTGGGTACATGGCCTAGCCATATTGCTGGCTATCGATCAGCACGAACCTGGTGCCCACAAGCCACTCCGGGCAGGTTATTTGCTCAGAGTGGTACACCGTGCTGGTAGACCCACAAACTGTGCTCACAGTTCCATTCTCACACGCTCCACCTGCGAAATGGTACTGCTGACAACATTCAATTTATCACAGTCCCATTGCTATGTGTTGATTCTCAAATCCAATTCAGATTTGAAGAACACACACCAAACTTTTTTCCAGTGACAAATAGGGCTGAGTCAATTCAAATAATTCACTTTTTGAATATCCGACCTTCAATTTGATTGATATCCGAATATTTAGTCATACTGACCGGCAGATTGTTGATGAACAAACCATATACAAAATCAGTTACACAACTCTACATTATAATCAATATAATAGCTTCTCACGTCTAGGATTATCTCCAGCCATGATTTAGCAAGATTTAAGAGATGAACACTACTTCTTGCCCAGTTGAAAATTTCTGTTCCTTTTAAATTGTTTAATGAATATTTACTTCCTGAATCATTGTAAGATTTCTGTCGCTTTTCACTTGAATCTGCTTGAAACAAGCCTCCGTAGTGCATTTTTCTCATTTAAAGTGAAAGAAAATGTTCCCTTCCTTTTCACGAATTTTGCATTCGAATATTCAAGTTCAGAAAATAATATTCAAATATTCAATAATCGATCGAATATTCAGTTATTCGGATATTTGGCACAGCCCCAGCGACAACTCCATCCAGTAAAATGCTAATCATAGCTTCTGTGTGGAGCCATTGTGGAAAGAAACTTGTGCATGTCAAATTTGATTTAAATATCATTTGTCTGGTTTTAGGTGTCTTTTTTCCTTCACTCAAGTCATCCCTGCGTTGAGTTTCATTTCCCTTTTACCCCACAAACCCCTGTCCTCTTTTGTCTGATCCATCAGTCCCTCTTTTCCAGCCTGTCCTTTCTCCTTGAATTCTTCATTTACAGCTGGGCTGCTCTATTAAATGTTTTGCCTCATTTTATTCCAGTCAGCCAATCAGCAGAAAATAGATTGGGAAATGCTCAGCCATGGTTGGCTACCACAGCGGTGGTCCATTTGCCCACAATTTTAGACTGCAATTTGCCATTACCAAAGATGTATGCGGATTTCATTGAGTCTGTGAATTCCGGCTGCTCTAGGAAGATCGTGAATTTTTTTTTTTCATAAACGAGATAAAAGGGATGATGCAATGTACAAATGGCAATAAAGGGCTGTCTTTCCTGCATTTTTTGTTAACCCCAAAGAGGTGTTCACTTCAAGAGGATTGATTTCTACTTTTTTGTTTAAGCTTTGGTCGTCGTCGGCCTTTGGAATTTCAGTGGCTTGTGGTTAACTGTACATTGTACAGCCGCAGCAGTCATACAGGAAGGATTATTATTAGTAACATTACTGGTTTATTTCCATCTCATCTCATAGCCGACAGGCAAAATAGCACGGTAGATTACAATTAAAGCTTACATTACATTAAATGAATTTAAGAACACCTGAATAATTCTACAAAGGAAAAAACGGGTAACAACAGACTTTGAAATTTTACCACCTACCAAATTTTGGTTTAAAATAAACACCACTGGCAATTATAACGCATACTTTGATTTTATAAATGAAGAAAACATAAATTGTACTACACAGAGAATAAAGATATTAAAAATAGCTAACGGCGGAAAAATGTTCATCCACAAATTATTGTAAAATATGGCACTGGAGTGTTAAAACAATCTGTTTTTGAGCTGCTTTGTTCATCAATGACTCAGCAATATCTGAGAGATATACTATGGCTCTTTTTAAGATGCTGGGAACCACTGAAACAGACTAAATATCACATTCAAATAATGACCCTCTCTCCGTCACATTTGAATATCCCCCAAATTATGTGAAGTTTCTGCCAGAAATTTAGGAAACAACCCAAAGCAATGTCAGACTCGGCAGCTTGAATCCATCTTCATTTTACCAGCTGCGTTACTGGACAAGCGTCCACAGACAGGCTGTTAATTATATAGACACTGCCTCAGAATCAGACCAGGTGTGTTTGCACTTTGAAAAAGAATGTCAACCTTCCGTGCTCCCCCTTCCCATCTCCCCATAAGAAAAGGTGTAAAAGTCCACTGTCCCGCGCATTTCTCTGTCACGATTTTCGCAATCAGTTCATCGTATCCTGAGCCTTCACTGCTCACTTCCCCATCGTCAGTGTGAGGTAACCCAAAGGGGGGGAGCGGGTGAAACCGTTTTCTTTTGTTGCTGTGGGAACCTGCCACCTGCCACTTCCTCATGTTACCACTTTCCATACGGTTGTCAGGGACGGAAACTCAGAGCACTCTGGTAGGTTTGACATCCAGGCTGATTAAACAGCGTCTGGCTGTTGCGTCACTCAGCACTGGAATCCTCCTTATCTGTTAGATTTTCTTTCTCTCTTGATGTAATCACTAATTTAATTCATTCAAATGATCTGTCAAAAGTAATTTTTTTCTGTGATAAATAAAGGTACTCATAAATACTGGGGGTTTTTTTTTACTAAATAAACTCCCAGTTGAAACTGTCACTCTGGCTTACCAAGCATTGTTGCTTGGAACCGAGCTGGAATCTGCTAATTTCCGCCATGGAGCTGGAACCCAAAATTTGGAGGATATTGAAGGATCTGGGAGAACGACGGCGCCTTTCTATATGCACATCAACACTTGCGCCAAGCATTGTGTATTGATGGCCGAATGCAACGCACACGTGTAGTATGGTAATAGTGTCGATTTTTGTGTCCGCGAAAGTGAAACGCATGAACACATTGTGTACACAATGCATCCAAAAAATGTACGCGGAAAGGTGCCTTAAGGGGAAAGGTGCCATCCTTAATCCTTAAACAGATGAATGATTGACGACTGTTATAGTTGTACTCTAACCTCCTAGAGTGTATGTAAAATCATATTGAAATCGGAGGATTTGAGACTGTTAAGGTTAACCCTGGGTAGTTTAGATAAAGGTGCTTCTTCCTGCCTCGTGGCATGAAAAATCCCATCTGTTACCACAAAAAATAATTTTTACCATCGCACTCATAGATATTTAGCAGTAAAAACTAACTTGACTTCAAGCTCTAAACTCTAAGTGGCCTATTCATGAGATTCAATCCCTGGCAATGAATTTTGATGTATTTGTTCAGAATTACATGCAAGTACAATTGGCTGGCTGCATTGACCCTTAAGGGCCAAAGTAGGTGAAAAGAAACGTGACTGCGATGCACGTGGCTTCGACTGTTCTAAAAAAAAAAAAGGGAAAAAAAAATCAGATTCCCTCATCCACTTCCTCATATTTGAAGCATGTTATACAGACTCGTAATAAGAAAGTTGGGGTTAGTGGAGCCGTAGTATGGAAAGTTGGATTTGGGTGCTTTTTGCTCCTTTTTATCTGTTTCTTTTATGCTTTTTGCGTCACCTCAGGTTGGATAAAGCTCTTAGTGTAATTGTCATTATCTTGTCATGATCAGGTCCATGCGTGAATAGGGGTGACAAGAGACAATGTCCCAGTGAGGAGATTTTGATGTCATCGAATTTAAAGAGTTTGTGTTGGGCTAATTTTCCTAATAAGAATCTTATTTTTCAGATTTGGTAAAGAGGCCATCCTTTGTGGAGGCCTGGTTTCCATGCTCTTGTGCCGTCTGTGCCTTTTTACTTTAATCTGCTGCCGTTAGGCCTATCTGAGGGAAAAACTTGACAAATAGCACAAAATATTGGGATGCAAGTCTGTAATAAATATTACTTAAATTCCTCCATGCACAGTCATCAGCTAACATGGTTTGCCCAACGAAAAAAGAGCTTAAGAGAAAAAAATCTTACAATTTAGCTTTCATAGCTATACTTCCCTGCCTCCTCCTTCCGTCTTATTTACCCTTGGCTTCATTCGCATGTTTTTCTGAGAGACCGCTTCAAATTTTGCTCAAGTGCAAACGCTGTAAAGAATAAGATTCCACGTGACAGCCAACTCACGTGTGCTGTAGAATCTGGCTGCTCACTGATGTACATGTAGATATGTGCGTGGCTTAATTGCCTCCTCTGGAAGTTGCAGTTCTTCCTGATGTTGTGTTATTATGTTGCCCATAATGAATAAATCAATAAATAAGAATAAATAAAGTTTTCAGTGGTTTATCTGCTTCCAGGCAATGCATTTGTAATTCTCAGACAGGTTGTTGACCATTTTAGGAATATACATGTACATGTATATGGTTAAAATAATGTTTTTCTATTCTTGTGTTTTAACTGCTATTTATAAAAATGGTATCCTGGGACTTTTTTTAAAGAGTTTTCAAATTGAAGTTTGTGTATCTGTATGAGACGAAGTTGGTGTTGTGTCTAGTAGAATGATTACATTAGCCATCTCGTGTAAACTCAACAGTTAGGAAAATCAAATCAGGTCAGTGGAAGTGAAGCAAGAGCTCTGGAAGATCCCTAGAAGTGTGGTTTAGGAGTCTTTCCTAAGGACCTCCCCAAGCCCCACTCATCCCCTTTATTACTTCCTGCTTAAACCCACTGAGATGAAATTCCAGCTACCTCTGCCCTACCCCCGCTGTTTACTTTTCCCCGTCTCCAGCCGCATCAGCTTCCTAAATGAAACGTGCCTTGCTGTGCACGTGGCTTAGGCTCGATCGCAAGATATCATACATATCTAGTCTTTGAATATATATTGGGTTTTTTTCTCTCTCTCATTGAATTATTAAAATGTTTGTTCATTTTAATTTCCAAAGTGAGTATGTAATGCATTTCACATGAGCTCCCTAAGGCATAAAAGATGATAGTGATTTGAGTGGCTAATCTGTAAATGATGCGTCTGAAACCAAGAATTAATTCAGTTTGATAAGAACTTGACTATCTGAGATTGTTTAACTAACTATTGTTTGTTGCTCTTAATTGTCAAACGTAATTTTTCTGGAATGTCATGTCCTGGAAAATTCACACCATCTTGGATTACCATCTTTAGTTCTTTCTAAACAGACCTAAAAACTGGCTTTTGAGGTTCTACATGTATCAACTAAGTGCACATAAATCAATTTCATATTTCTCACATTTTGGAGGAGAGTTCTTTTCTAGGTCCACCAAGTCCCACATGCTGGCAAGTATGTCTAAACCAGCAAATCAGTTCTCTGTCTTATTTAAAAAAAAATTTTCCATCTCTGTTCCTGCAGGTGAATCTCCTTCTTTCAACCGCATCCTGAAAGCACCTTTTCTTCCTGATGCCACCACCCCTCCGGCTGACAGTCTCAGAACCTCCTCTGCCAAGTCTAGCCTCATTGAGGCTCCCCTCCCCTCTGTCCACCTGGACCTCCGCTGGAGCCATGCCAATTAATTCACTGAAATACTGGCATCCTTGTGAGGACTGAAGGCACCCGAGTACCCATTTGCATCAAACAAGGCTGTTGATTTGTATAAGATCAAGAGTCTGCCGGAACGCAAGGCAGGTTTTGTGTTGCCTGATTTTGCCTGGAAGTTTTCTAGGAGGTTACTCATTTAATGCATTCTGAAAATGTCCAAGGTTGGCCTTCCTGTTTGTCCATGACCAGTACGTTTTTTTACACTTCTGAAATTGTGGCACAATCCTCACAACTACATCTTGGGCACTTTGTACTTTGTTTTCTGCATGCCCCACACCTGCCGAAATGTTGTTGAAGAAGACGCCTTGTCCTGTCTCAGTTTGTAGTCATTGAATCCTGCCCCTGGAACTTTGTTTTGCCCTCCTCGCTTGTTCTCAACAAGCGCTGAGAAGACACTGGTTATATTATCACCTCACCGAAGGACAAACCTTTGTGGATAATAAAATGTGACATTGGCCTGATCAAAAGGACTTTCAATCTGCTGATCAGTCTGAGATCATGAGATTAGCTCTTTGTTCACATGATATCTAGGCCAGATAATTAGTTGTCAAAGCTTTTTGCAGTCATGTTACTAGTCATTAATTATTCATACGAGTAGATTTTCAGTTTTTGAGCTGAAATCAGAAGTAAACAGTGCAGAAAAATCCAATGAAAATTTGATTTTTCTTCAATTTTTAGGAGCCTTTTTGTCACCCTTTCCCTTTTTTTGCTGCCACAGTGATGTAACCAAATGCATTTTAGAAATTCAACTGAGATGTCGTCAGGATGAATTACTTTAAAACAAAACCAGACAACCCAAGTAAAATTTTGACTTGAAAAACAATTGTTTTGTAACTTGTGGGCTGGTCATCCTAAGACATTATTCGCCTTCGGATGAGAGGGTTATACATGTAGTGCAGTGCTTACCTGTTTTAAAAATCAGATCTTAAGATTGGTTCTCCATACTTGTTGGCCATCACTTAGGCCTCCAAGGTAGATACTGTTGATATGACTATTGCAATGCTGCCACAAAGCTTTGGATCAAAGCCAGTCCCAGGCACTTGTTTGGGGGGGGGGAATTGATGTTTGACAAGTGCATGTTATCATAATTATCACTCAAATATGACCGAAGACTTACCAGAGGAAGTGAAGATGCTTGGCTGTACTGCTGTATGGAGGGCTTTACGGTGGATGCAGTTGACTGTCAACACCCAAATAGTGGCCCATGGAATGGGTGTTCAACAGCTCAGCTGAGTTCTAACACTCTCAAGCTCATTTTCTTTGAGCTTGCAGATTTTTGTTTTATAAAAGCCGAGGCATTTAGTGCCTCACCCAGAGGAAAAAAACGTTGTCAAAAACAGCTTGATAGTCATTCTTAAAACAGTTTACTGACCTTAAATTAAATGACAGACATGTACATGTAATCGTGGTGCTTCCTATGATATGTTTTGCCGAAGCATTTTGACTTGAAACAATTATTCCTCCCCCCCTCCCCTCGCTAAAAACAAGTTCCCCTAATGCGGGGCTCACCCCTCTCTGTTTACACTGTATTAGCCCCGTCATTTACGGTTTCCTCGGCAACGGGAGGCAATCAGTTGCCAGACGTGCTCCAGCCAAGAAATATGTCGATTTTTTTTCTCCATTCTGGTCTGCCGTTGTGAGTGCTCGCGTGGGTAATTACTGTTTGGGCAATATTAAGTGGTTGGTGGATGACCAACTCTTGCTGACCGACACGATCTCAAAGATACAGCACAGACCTTAATTCATCCTACAGTCATCCTTTCACATTGGTCCCCCCCCCTGCCGCCTTTGTATTTTTCTTCTTGTGTCGAACAAAATCCTGCTTTTGCATGAATATTGCGTCCATGTTCATGTACAGCCATGCTTTCGTGGTCTGTTCGTTTTTGTGTTGGAAACAATTAATAGAATACTTAGAACTTTTCCGACGGTATATTTCTGTCATTATCATTAAGATGAAAAGAATGTTGAACATTTAGGAGAACGTACACTTGAGAAGTCTTTCATGTTTAAATGTCCGTCATAGTTTATTATAGTATGTTTTGGGTTTTGTTTTGTTTAACTTTTTTATCTTCTTCCCTTTCTTTCAACAATGCAACAATAATTAAATCGATCTCTTAATTGAAAATTTGCAAAATAGTTACTTAAAACATTTTTTGTAGATTTGTTTGGTTGATTTTGATTTCAAATTAATCATTAACACTTCATTCCTTGACAATTCATCATTAAGGACTGTTGTTTATCTGGAAGGTTGTAAATCTAGAGAACAGGTCTGCATCGCTTCAGTTTGTTTCTGTCGGTTGCCAGCGAGTGTGTGCGTGGGTTGAGCCGGCAGTGAAGGACCCTCATTGCGGATGGTTAGACTCATTAGGGCAATTAACGAACACATGGCGTGTTTCCCCGCCACTCCGATGGTCATGTGGCGGCATTCACAGTATGCCGCTTATATTGCTTCTCTAGTGAGGAGAGTTTCCCACATCAAAATATTCTATTTTTGAATCCATTCCTGTTGATTTATAAAGTACTCTTGGTTGTGATTAGGGCATTATAACTGATGCACGGTTTATTATTTTTGATATGTACATTTTTGCATTGACTATGTGCAGTGGGACTCGACCCTTTTGAGAAAGGGTTGTATTTAATTTGAGTGTTATTTGGATTCTAATGTTTTCAGACTAGGATGGAGAGCTGTTTCGATATCACCGAAGCACAAAATGAAGCTTGTCATCTGAGCATGGATGCCCCAGGGCAATGCAAAGAGCTGGAAAAAAACCAAAAAAACAAACCACAACCGGAGTATCTAAGCTGAACCAATCCTAGGATTTAATGTAAGCCTCTTGTTTATTTTCCAATCACCTGTAGGAAAGTCTGGGAAGAACAGTTCAGTCTGCCCAATGGCTAAAATGTAAAATTGAATGCCACAAATTGCAATGTTATGTTAGCTTACATTATCTCGTATTACGCGTTTTAAAGCGACATGTAGTGAGGTCGGTTTTGTGTGTTTTCTCTTCAGCACAAATGTTACAGTCCTCTAGAGAACGTCTGAAATTCTGATGTTTCAGTGCAAATGAATCTTTTCAGAGTGTGGGGATGAAAAAACCTTTCACAGTCGGAGACTGATGTTGATTTTAAACAATTTTTTTTCTATCAAAGAAGGTGTGCCCTTAATGGGAGGATTCTGGAATCCCTGCTTTCAGAGGAAGCTTTTGTTAAAAGCACTCGCACCATTAATCAAATCATGGTTCAGATAGTATGTTCAAATTGGAGGTAACTGAAACATTCAGCCTCGGCCGTTAAAAGACTGGAAGTTGTCAGGCAAAAGACTAGCTGTAACGAAAAAGCTTCAGCAGCAATTTGGGTGGAACCATTAGAGAGAAAAAAAAGTCTGATTCGCCCGGAAGATGCTTGCACCGAACAACCCTGAACAGTTCCAGCACATTAGCTGCCTTCGCTCTCTATCAGTAAGAACTCGTTAATTTCTTAACAAAGTTCAGTGGTTTCTACTGAATTGTTCCTTGTGCAGATTAGACAAAGTTTATCCTGACACACAAGAACCCATTTTCGTCATCAAAAATTTTATCCTTTTTTGAGTTTAATCTCTATTTTAATTTGATTACATCTAACTTTGTGACCACTTTGGGGTTCAGGGTAACAGGCTAAAAGTTCCCCACATGATGCTTTTGCAGGTAGCCCTTTACGCAACCAATAAAAAATGCTTGAAGGGAAAACAAACTCAAAAGGAATGAGACACTCAGATTTATTGTAAAAAAATCACAGTTTAAAATAAACAAAATTCAACATAGTACATTTGATTTTAGCTATTTACAATTGTTATATGCACAATTTACAACGGCCTTAAAGCTACATACGTTTACAAAATTACAAAAAGAATTGATTCATGAATGACTCAAGTTGTCAAGCAGCCGACACCCAGAATCAGTTGATTGGCGTACCCAGTGATTTCTTAATCTACAGCAAGATTCATTTACATTTCACCCTGTCAATCTACTATTATCTGCCCCCAATGTTATCAACAATGTTACACTGAACAAAATCTATGTAATGATAACAGTGCTCCCAAACAGGTATAGCCCATATGCGAGGGATGTCATACATTTCGTACATATAATTGTGAGTATGCTGGTGTGTAGCAACAGCGCCATCATGCGGTGGCAGGGGCATTCCTCAAGTTTGCCGTCGCCTCCGCTGTTGGCCTGTCTACTGCTGAAATTTAAATAGCAATAACACCAGCAGAGATCGAGCCCAGGGTGTTCTGGTGTGCCTGTTCATGCACACCCCCCACCATATAGCGCCCCTCCCACACACATAAACCACAAGGAAACTGACTAGGTGCTTCCACAGTACATGTACATTCATGTACTGTGTACACAAAAAGCAGCAAAATTCTGACCGATAGGTAGAGACAACTCTGCTCTTATTCCCTGTGGTCGTACAGGTAAACCATCCTTATTCCAATAAGCTTATTATACTGATAGAGTAAAGATCAATTTCTATTGTGCCAAATCTTTACATCCCAAATGATCTAGAGCTTGCTGAGGCAGGTTCACCCGGTGGAACTAAAAAAAAGCCCCGTCAATCCACTTCTCAGGAATGTCCAAACGCCTTTATACTTCCAATTACTTGCAGGAAATACAAGATTTTGTGGACTAGTTATAGACCAGTGACTAAAGGTCACAATGCCAACATCTTACATCAGCTGTTGTTTTTTGTTTTGATCTTTGATATTTCCATCCCCCATCAAACTGGACAAAGGATTAGCATTTTACATTCTCAAGTAACTCATATCCTCCAGTAAATGTCGTACATCCGTTGTGTCTGTTGTTACCTGAAGTTTGAGCTCTGTGACTTTTTAAATTTCAAGTTTTTTACAGTGAACTTGAATTGACTGGACCATAAAAGATTGTCTATATTTCTACAGGGACAGTGAATGGGGATGCATTTGAAAGTTAAAAGCCTCTTACCTAAGATTATCCCTTGAAAGCATATTAGTTCATTTGATAAAAGAACCTAAAGTATTTAATTTCTTGTAAAAAGGGCATTTGGACAAACACTCAAGGTGAAAAGGAAAAAAAATTAATGAAAATTAAATAAAAACCACTCTAAGCGACCAATCAAATTGTCATTTCCTTAACACTTTTTGACAAAGCCCTCTTCACCCCTCCCAACACAAACCATCAAATCAAATATTATTTACTGCATTAGATACATTCATGCTTTCATTTTCCCCCCTTTATCTCTTTTTAAACGTTCACGAGAAACCTTCAAAATCAGCAGCTGAGCTTAATTCTGTCTTCAGTCATTTATGTCACTGATCAAGGTGATAAGAATTTCTCCTCAACATTTCATCTTCACTGAAACAGCCGCAATTTCTCCAACAACGATCCTCTCTGAGAAAGTTGTAACAATCATCTATTTTTAGTTCACCCCCCCCCGCAAAACCTCTGGTCTAATTCGCTCGTGTTCTGCCGAGGTAATTAAGCTGAACAACCCTAAGTGGTGCAAGCTCTTTGTTAGCTGCAAGTTTCCATTAAAGTAAATACACTGTAATGGACCGTGATGCTACTTGCAACATCAATCTATTGCTCAGGTAAAAAGTGGACAAAATGCTTCTTCGCATACTGAATTTGTGTATTAGGCTAACAGATTTTATTTCACTCAAGTATAAACATGATTCAGAATAGAAGTCTGGAGTAACTGCCACAGTGTGATATATTCAGCTGTAATGGAAGCCTTTTTTCCCCTGCCAAATCATTTTACACAATTTGCTTGATTTAGGAAACTATGAAAGGAGCAATGTAAATAATTTATCATTGTTGATGCACAAAGTAAAACGACAAAATTTCCGTGTTCGGCCATAATAGATTCCTACGTTTCAATCATAGATTCCCAAGTTTCAATATGAGGGTATTTGGAATGCCATTAATGTGATCGAGTGTTAGTTGACCGTTACCACGGGTGCGTCTTTGCCTCCGTTGGAGGGGGTGTACTTCATGCCCCGTCGGGTCTTGAGCCGCTCGTTGCGTACGATGTCGTGTTGGAGTCGTAGGGACGGCCTCAGATTCTCCAGCTTGGGGGACTTGGAGAACTTCTGGACGTTGTGTATCTTGTCCAAGATCAGCCTAGAAAATAGTCAACAGGGGAAAAGGGGAGTTCATTCATGTTTCTTTTGTTTTGATAGTCTGGTAGCTGGAATCCATCTTCTTATGAATGATATAAGGCTGTTCAAATGCCCTAACAGGGTCAAAAGGTCATGCAGAAATTAAACTTGCCCTAATTAACTTGAACTGTCGAAACACATTAACATCCACACAAACATTTCTAGCTTTTGTGTCAGAGGAATTATTTAATTTGATCCACACACTACGTTCAACCATTTTTTTTCTTAATATTCACAAAGTTTCCATTGCACCCTCGGACTTCAGGCGCCGTGTTTTTTGCACTGTACTGTGCCCAAGTAACTGGCTCAGTGGGCCAGCTGCTTGGGCCAGACCAAGTATTAAGCCCAAGATATGCCATGCAAATATGACAAATCCAACATGCTGTTAAAAACTGTTCCAATTTTCCAATTGCAACCTCCCACGAGGGCGCCATGACTCCAAATCAATATGCCATTTTCTGGCATTTTTGCTCTTGGTTGTGTTGTCCAAACTGTGTTTTTTCCTCTTTGTACTGGATAATAATCTACCTATTTGTAGTTCCCATGAAAAAGTACTTACTCTACATATGCTTTGACCTCTGACATGTACAGTGCATGGTCATCGATAGGCTCCTCTGGAATTAACTGGGGTGCAACAAGCTGAATAAGATAACAAGGAACAAACTTTAATTCTGAATTTTTTTTCAATTTTAAGCTCTGTTCCATGGATGAAGTGCATCAGACAGTACTGAAGCCTCACAAAACGTTTGATAATTACTTTGGCTGTTTTTTTTCCTATGAGCGTGTTTGAATTCTGAAGCAAACCACACCCTCCCTCTGAAGACTGAAAATCTAGCGGTTAAGATTACTCCTAAAAGTGTAACTAGTAGAACAAATCTGTTTCTCGCAGAGTGAAAAGCTAGTGCATTGCATGCAAGACACTACGTTTCGTTGACATGTTTTAACTCACCAACTACAGTAAGAAGTCATAAACTGCAGTGGTACAGTGCTCATTTCAAAAGGTTATTATGTACACCAAACAATCTCTTAACAAAATAAAAGTACTTTTCAAATTAAAGGCCGTAGACAGTACTCCCGTTTTGATTTGTAGTTGACAGAATTGCCTGCAGAGATCTGCATTCAATTTTTTTGTACTGAAGAATAACGTTTATCAAACTGAACAGTAGAGCTGACATCGCTGAATGTAATACGACTGAAATTCTGACCTTCAGTTTGACTCCGACGTTGAAGCGGATGCTCTGCATGTTGCAGTTGAAAGCCAGGAAGACCTGCTCCTGGGCCATGCAGCGCAGGCTGAAGACCTTGTTGATGGCGAAGCAGATGGGCTGGAAGGGTGGGGCATGGACGTGAGTCACCTGGTCCTTCCAGCTCCACTTCTTCTTGACTGCGCCCTTGCTGTCGGTGAAGATGCCACCGTACTGGTCCAGGTTCATCCTGGTGGATGGTCAGTGAGAGAAAGATTGGGATCGAAGGAAGTCTAACAACTGGGAGCAACATTTGAGGACAGGTGTGTTATTCCCTATGCGTTCTTCCCTCTGAACAACAGGTCCTCAGACCTCACAGGTCCTCAGACCTTGTGTGGACTTGCCAAGGTTCATGCAAGGTTATCCTGAAAAACAGTTTTAGAGGAATTTGTGAGCCAGGATTATCCACTGCAAGATGAAAAGGAACATTCAAGGAAATCTGGATCTCTCTTTCAGGTTGAGGTATATTGGGTGTGCAAATAACATTACTTTTGTCACCATTTGTTCTTCACATAAAAAGCTGAGACTATTCACACCCGGCCTGTCATTTCAACGTGTGAGAAGTGTAAATTCCCTGCTTGATAAAGCAGCCTTCCAATTAAGCTCTTGGCAAAATTGTGCCATTTTAGAATCCATTTCACAAAGGTCCTGGACCATTTCTAAGTGAAGATGGCAGTATGCATAGTTGGTCATTCATTCACAGCAGGAACTATTTGAAATGCCACTCAGGGTGGGGGTAGGGGGGGTGTAACACCACACACCTGATGTTGCCATTGGAGTGATAGCAAGTGGAACACCCGTTGGGTTCAAACACGGCCAGGAGGGTAGCGTTGTGTTGGACATCTTCATAAACAAGGTACGTGTACTGGCCTTTCTCGACGGACGTAATCAGGACGGCTATGTGACCCGAAGGGTAGCTATGGAGATGAATGGTAGCTAAGAAAACATGGGGCAACCTGTTTCTTCGAACCAACGGCAATTTTCTTTTAACTGGAAGAATACATATGAAGAGATTAAGAAAGTCTATAAGCCTTCATACAGTCTTAAACTTCTCACGCAACAACAGTCCAGCAAATCTGAACTAAATCGGTTTGCTGCCACTGTAATGACACAGTTCCTTACTGACAACCAATTGACTGCGGGAGGACTTTAACACCTGATAAATGAAGGAAGAACAATAAGACCACATGCTTTACCGCGCATAATGATGAGACAAGCGTTCTTGTTCGGTAGACAGTTGGTTTCAGAATTCTGCTGCTTCTAAAGGATACAACACGTTGCCGGTGCCATCAGGAAACATGAGCATGAACAGCTTGCCGTCTTCGTAGAACTTCTGAACCGTCTTAGGATCCTGAATTCCCTGCCTTGCCTGAGGGGGAAAAAAACCAAAAGGCCATGGCATGTACATGAATTATAAAAACAAAATTATTTCCTGCATCTCTGTACACAAACTCAGCTTAATGTTTCCAATGTTAAGAAACTACTTCCCCCGTCTCACTGCAGTGAGTACTTCGTTCTCATAGAAAACAAATTCCAGAGATATGTAATACAAAATTGCTGCAAACTGCTTGCTGACTACCGTGACCTAAAATACAGAAAGATTCTGTTAGGATGAAAACGTTAGGCCCTCCATATTTTGTGACTTGTAAAAAACGGAGTGATAAAAACATCGCAAAGGATATAATCCGTGTACAAGGATTTTCTCGGTGTGCACTCACCAAAGTATTTCATGTCTGGAAGGGGCTTTCTACAAACTCTGAGAACAAAAATCACACGACGATGAACTTCTTCCGCAAGAAGGGGTGCCTACCTGCGACATGATCGGAGGGGGAATAACCGGCTCTGGTAGGAAGACCATTGGGGGACCACCGTCATCGTCGTCAGGGGTCGGGGGTCGTATTGTCCATCCCTCATCAAGGCACTTCTGGGAGGACAACTGGTAGTTGATGGTTTTCATCTGCCGTGCAACTAGAGTATGGGGAGAGAGGGTCAGCAAACAAGTCAACTAACCATTTCCTTTCATTTTGGGGGGAAGGGGTGGGGGGAGTTGAGGGCTTACTGGGCTGAGGGTTACATTTTTATGGGGGAGGGATATCTGTCTCAAGGTGAGGGATGTGTAAGGACTAGGGTACAAGTTCAATGTGTTAGTGTTTAGGACTCCCAAGTCTGGTGTCTGCAAGTGTTTATGCTTACTGCACAATCCAATAGCCTCTGGTAACGTGATTCATACTTCTCTGTGTCTACCGTGACCAATGGAGACATAGGAGGACTAGAGGAACACAGCCAATCAGCAGGAGTGGACTGTACTGCAAGTGCCAATATCAACCTCTTCCACCTAACCATTCAAGTCTTTTTCACAAACCACTTTGCCCAACTATATGGTTGTTTCAACTTTTCATCCAGTAATGAGCAGTAAATCTCCATCCAGGTTTCCACTCATAACCGTTGATATTCTCTAATTTTGGAGGGGGAATTGATCCCCAAACACTTAAATGGGAGCAAATACCCATGAAAATAAATGTGCAGCATAATGGTTGAACAGTCTGTCATGTACGCTATTGACTAACCTTGCAGCAAGTCTTTACAAATTCACATGTGACTATAACCTGCTACTGTGTGTTCAGCATTTCTATGCATTGGCAAAGTAACTAACTCAGCACCAGTCATATGTGGGCCCACATGAACACACACACACCCACACTGGAAAAATCCATATTCATTTCATTTGGTAGTTTTGTGAAAATGACACACCCAGCAACACTGCTTGATAATGATACTCAACCTCATCACAACCAATACTGTGAAATTCTAAATTGCCTTCAAAGTTCTATGACAGTCAAGCTGGCAATTTCTGAATGACCTGCGACCTATCACATATTTTGATCTCCAAAACTACTCGCAAAGGTGCTTGATGTCACTCAACATTTAAGCAAACTTAAGGAAGATTTCAACAGATTAATGTTACAGATCAAAAGTAAGTAACTACAAAAACTAGTTGTATATTGTGTTTTGTTTTTTATTTTTCCAACCAGTGGCTGGAAACAGCAACTGATCAAATGTGGCACAGAAATTTTGGGTGGGAAAATATTTTGAGAGTCATGGATATGAAGATAAAAACACAAACAAACCTGCAAACAGATTTGGATACGGCCAGATCAAAAGCAAATCAAAATTCAATGAGGAAAATGCCAGCTCCAAAGCAAAAAGTAAAAAAACCAATGCAGACGATACAGGAAAAATATCAGTGAAACAAAGTTTCAATTTGTAGCTTTTTTCCAAGATGTCTTGTTTAAGGGTTTTTCATTACAGATCACATGGACTGCAGGCAGGTGAAAGGCCAAAGAAGAAAACTGGGGTAAAGCACAACTTCCTTCCCAAATATTCATCAAACAATGCTTGGATCTACATCATCACCAACCGAGAACCATCATTATCAGAGCATCATGCACAACCATCTACAGGCAATTTCCAACTTGTCCGTGGAAATTTGCGAGAGCGTCTTTGAAAGCGAGTTCCCCACCTTAGACATGTTTTTCTATCTCCCTAAATCTGGACACCTTGCGTCCAACTTAAAATTGTTGAGTACCTGCTTTACATCCTTTCTCCAATCCAAGGAATGCAGCGTATAATCTAGCGAATTCAAACAAATACAGAGCACAATGTGGGCACTGAATGCTATGCAACATAGAAGCAAGTGAAGCGCAAAACCGTGACAGTGCTTTGCATGGGATTTCATTCGGTGCAATCTGGACGTGAACTTGGATGGAATAGCGAGAACAAAAGAATTTGCAAATAGCAAGCAGAAGAAATTCAGCCAAATGTATGCGCAGGAAATGAAGTACAAAACAACACCACGCTGTGACTCTGTGCTTTTCTTTAAATCTAACCTCCGTCCAGGATTTCTAAGCGGTGGGCTGAACCGTATCATCGCATAGATTAGATGGCAAGGAAATTTCATGACAGAAGAAAAATATGTAAATCTGTTAACATATTTAAAGCAGTGAACAAGTTGGCTCAATTTAGGTGAGCCAGGTAAAAATAGGTTCATCCAACAACCATGCACAAAGTTTTGGAATGGAAATCCATGTCTGTGACAACCTCATGCATACTTGCTGGAAAGAGTGACATGGTCATTTGAAACCAGGCCAAAATTTTAACAATTGACAAGAAGAATTTAAAGGAAGGCAAATGAAAAAAATGGTTGACATTATTTCTGACAGTGAAAGCTAACGGCACCCATTCATCCACAGCAGTATTTCAGTTATGGACAGTTACTTTCATGTTAAAACTGACCTCCATTTTCATTTCTGCAACATGGCTGGCCTGGTTTACCCTGACCTGTCACAGGTCTGTACCTTTCTAAAAGCACTTGCCCAAAGATCAAATCTGTTAGTTGATTAAGTCTGCAAGCACAATCTTTCTGAAAAAATTCAGACCGTTAATGCGAGGACTATTTCACTGATTAAACATCTGACTGCTATTGACATATTTGTTAGAAGTCTCATGCTAGTCATTTAAACGTGTTCTAATTTTCTTCTCAGCACAGCCTGAACAGAAAGTAAGAAATTTCACACTTTTGCAGGTGCTTTTGGAAAGTGTCAATGTTGTTTTTGCTGATTAGTGACACCTACCTTGTACTGTTTGGTGGTGTGCAATATTTTCCAGTGGGTGGTGCATGCATGGTTGTAAAGTGAATCGGCAGAGGGAGTCGGCACAGTGCAGAGAATGGCAGCATCCGTGCATCAGCCAACAGTAAGCAGAGAATGTGAGGCGGTAATCATTAAATAAACGGGAGTGATTTTTTTTTTGTTGGATGCAGAGAGAGGTAAAATGTAAAGTCTAAAGTTAGTTGTTCAGTGTAACATAAGTGAGTATTCAATGCATTTATCAAACTAGAAAAGTTAGCACTTTAATTAGTATAACATTAAACACTGCAAGCCACAAAATGAATCACTTCTGTAATTTTTTAACTAGGTGAAGCTAACTCAAGAGAAAAAATGCAAAATATCAAGACTTTTTCAACTGATGAAAATAAACAAAGAGATCTGTATTCTAAACAAGGCATATTGTTTGTTTGTGATTGGTTTCGTTTTGTTTTGCTTTTCACAATTAGTTCAATTTTCATGGGATTATGACACTTTTTTCTTGAATCAACTGACGTCTAAGAATTCTTCTCCAGGATAAAACAGAAGTTAATCCTATAAGCTTCTAGAAGTAAGCTGAAATTAAATCACATAACTCAAAAGTCAACACTCTTTGTAAAACAAAATATGATGACTACATGAATGATGCCGATGATATCTCAAAATAAATGAATGTGGACAAGAAAGCAATGATGTGCAGCTACATGGGTTACTCAGAAAAATGCAAGTTTCGCGTTAGATTGCATTTTGTTCCCCCTTTGAGCATAAATATCTAATTCAGCTCTAATTTTTTAATTAAAAAACTCCTTCAAAATGACGAAACATCTCAGAGAAGTTTGACTTTGTAAAAATGCTGAGTCATTTTCTACTATACCCCCCCCCGCATTAACAAAAACATTTTCCAACAGAAACCGTAAGGATGCAGTGAGAACAGGGGATTGGCACCCAATCCCCAACACCCCCAGACCAGCTAAGATGGTGGTCTAGTGTAATTAAGACTGACAAGAAGTTAGTTGGCCCATACGTGCACAATGAACCCCAACAGTTGGAGGATATCAATGTGTTGCGTCAAAGGGGTTCATTAATTTGTGCATTAATGCATTAACCCTAACACTCCTCAGTCCTCCAACAGGTGAAGGATTGAGGAGGGTTGGGGTTAAGTGACACGACTTTATTATCAAACACACTGCTGTGTAATTGGATTCACTTTCACTGCTTGTGGATGTCAAATGATAACTCGGCTACCAAAAAGGACTCTGATCACCTGGATTCCATATCACTGGTAACAGTTGGGCGAATAATGCCATTAGTTTCTACATGTCAGAGATTTGCCAAAAAGGAAAGGTATACAGGCTATCCCCTTTTTATATTTCCAGTTTCTTAAAACCTAAATGGTATATTAAGATCCACACCTGGCATTATCAGTCATTCTGCATCCCTTTATACAATTTGTGGCATTTGTCAGGTATACTGACAGCCAGAGACAATGACTTTTAGCAGAATGTACTATGGTTTCATGACAGAACGTCTCACTCTGAGCACCATTCAAACATTTTGCGTATAAAAATGCAAGAATGTTGCCCAATTCAATGCTGCTGAAACTTCACACCTTTCTCATCAAATTTTGCAAATCTTCATCTTTCTCATAAAGTAACACTCCCCCAACTGAGTAACAAAAAAAGGAACTTCACTTCAATGAAAATTCTCTCAGCACAACATTTTTGCCCTGATGTGACAACACGCTCAGTCAAACACATGGCATAGGAAACACGGTGTGACCCATACGTACATGCGTAGAAGTTGGCCTGGTTGGCACCGGCCGCCCTCTGCCGGGCGATCTCTCGGTCCCTCATCCGCTGGGCGGCACGCTCTTTGGCCGCCCGCCGGGCCTGCTTGCTGCCGTAGGGGGCATGGGGCTGGATGTCAATCAGCTCGTCCACGGGGTAGGTGGCCTCAGGGCCATGGGTCAAGGTGAACTCCACCAGCTGCTGGTAATCTGAGCAGCAGTAGATCTGGGAATCACGCAGAAATGAACCTAATATGAAGCCACCGTCAAACATGACCTGAGGTTTTTAACAAAGTGGTTGGTGATTTTCTCCACAGATTCATTGCTGTAAAATGTGCACAAAGCCCCGCTCCCCCCCAAAAAAAATCCTCCAGAAATAATGAAGAACTATCTTGTTCCTTTGAAGTTACTCTGACAGGTTATTCTGAGCACATTCCTTTGAACCCCCGCTGCAACTGGTGTATGTATCTGATTTGAGAACTCACTTCCTCCGGGGTCATTGACTGGGCCATTTCAGGTGTGGGGAAGGTCTTCAACTCCTGCTGGCAGAACTCGCAGACTCCGTTCAGGTCGTCGTCCCCGTCCAGGTCCGATGAGGCGCTCACACTGCTGCCGAAACTGTCAAACCGAGGCACAACCAGTCCGGACATCCCCGCCGTGTTGACGCGGTCGCTGGGACTGTCGGGGTAGGCCACTGCCCGGTCTGACTCTCGCTGGTACTGGATGATGCGTGGTGGACCGATGCTTGGGATGAGGGTGTCGGTAGGGAGGGGTGCAACATCATCATCGGAATACTGATGAAAAGAAATTACCATAACAGCAATCAAAGTTTGTATACACCTTAAAAATAAGGGTTTAAGGGATATGAACAAGATGCGTTTTCCAACCAATTTGGTATCTGTCCGACAAATGGCCGATGTGGAATGACGGACAAAAACACAGAGGAAACTCTACAAAGCGAAATCCCATTTGTGTTTTTCTGTTTTGCTCTGGGATTTTGCAATCACATTAAACTTGTGTGTTCTCGTGTGACTTGGTATTGACCTCACAAGTAGATAAAGGCAGAACAAAATTGATAATGCGATTAACATGTTGTGCAACCACTTTTCTGGCTTAATTTCGTGCCCTGGATATGCACTTGGGATGAAACAGGGAGCCCACAACAAACGAAAACAGTTTCACCGATGATCTCCCACCTCAGACTCAGACTGGCTGTCCCTTCTCTCCTGGTCCTCCTCGACAAAACTCTCGGCCCGAGACTTTCCCTGTCCGTTCTCGGCATCTGAGCCCTCAGAGCGATAGCTGAGGGTAGACTGGGAGCCCTTACGGTGCCTCCTCTTGCGGGGGAAGCCACTGCTGGGCGGAGTTTTGGTCTGATCCGCCTCTTTCAACTCAACTAGATGTCAGGACAGCAAAATCCAAATCACCAACTACTATTAATAATTTACGATTGATATTTACAATTAATATTGTTACTCTAATGTGACCCAATTTTTGCCCAGGAATGAGGCAAAATATTTAATAAAGTCCTTTTTCAACTCCTACAGTTTACCAAACCACATTGGTGCTACAGTCAGAATCAAGCTGTGTCAAATAAACACACCAAATGGGTTATTATGGAAATGATGAATATGACCATATTTACACAGGTATCCAAGAAACGTTTGACTGTGAATAGTCAGTCTGGAACTCCAGTCTGAATCCTGTTTTGATGCTTTGAACAAAATACATATTTTCAGCATACACTGACACAAAGATATCTCAGCTTCCTATTCAGATTTCAGAGCTAAAACACTCTGACCAAAATGTTTAGTATATCAAGAAGGACTCAGTTACAATGCTAGTTATGCAAAGATGTGACATTTTAAAAGCAGGCAAATTTGTACATTTTAACCCCTCCCTCAATGCAACCTTCCAAACGCTACCCTTACCAATCGCCACCCTTGCCAATGGAGTTCACTCCTGACTGACCTTCGCCTTTTCCTGCCAATGTCACACTCTCCAGCCAGCTCCATTCTGTCTCCGTCGCTATGGAGACACCAATACGCTCGGTGCCATCAGGGTTCTTCTGTCGGACGACCTCTCGAATGGCCGGTGATTTGAGGGAACTGCGACCGGTTTTCTCTGGAGACTTTGCTGGGGTCCTTTGAAGAGGGACAAATTTGGTATCGATAAACAAACAGTTGCATTCAATTCACTTCTCAAGTTTATTGGGCTGTGCGTTGAGGTCTACACTGGGCTAAGGAATTTTTGACAAGGAAAAGGGGGCGAAAGAAAGTGAATTTCAACCTCACCTTGTGTCTGACTCATCTCTGAAGGACACAGACCGTTCAGATCGCGTCACACTCTCCGCTGTCTGAATGGATCTTTCTGCATCGTCATTCAGGCTGGCAAGTTCTCGCCTGTAACTCAGAATTGCTGGCTGGCCTGTAAAAAGAAATTGGAACGTACTTCCCTGTTCAAAGACAATCAAGATTTGTCATTTATCTTACTTTTTCTTAATTTCACTCTTTTTAAGCCAGAAATTGAAAAAATTCTTACTTGATCGCGAACGGATTTCAGACCTGTCACCATTAGTGCTTATTGTTTGTTCACCAGTTGATGACGACCCACTCTTGGCATCTAGGTCAACTTCCTTGTTTTCATGAGCTTTCTCCCCTCTGATCGGTGGTAGAGGCTTACTGCTTCCAGTTCGGAGGGACTCTGCACCAACCTTGGCAGGGGTGCTTGCACGAGTCTGGCTGCTGGGCCGAGAGCTGCTGCCGGTTAATTCCACTCGGACAGGGGAGCCCCGCCCACCAGTTCTGACTGGCCCCAGGGGAGAGGACGTCCGCCCTGAGTCCTGGACCGAGCGCAAGACAATGGGACTCCCTGTGCCACTTCGCTCGGTCACCTCCTCAAAGAGGCGCAGGTTCTCGATGGTGAGGCTTGAGCTGGACCGGGGTTGGGGGCTGGAAGGGGTGGGTATCTCCCCGATGTCATTGCTGCTGTCTCCGTCTTCATTTACGCTGCCCTCAAGTTCCTGAGATGACAAGGAATCTTGACGGAGTATGCCATCCAGGGGAGTGTGTCCTCCACTCATGCTTCATTGGTTGGCTACAAATACAATAAAGCAACAAAGAAAGCTGAGTTTACTGGACATAATTTGTGCGGGGATTAAGCAACATAAACAGACATCCGTACAATCACAGAGCAAGGGAATATACCTCAAGTGTCATTTGTTGGTTGATCAGTTAAACAGAAAATAAAATTACGACTTCCCTTGGTTCCTTGTCACATCTTTTTTTAATCTAAATAAAAGGGAACAATGATCTCCAAATAAGAAGGCTAGCTAGTTGTAGTTACAGCAAGAGAACATTTCCTTTTAAAAAATCACTTAGGCCTAGGCCTATAAAACCTACAAACTGAAAGGGAGAATTGTCAGTTCCGGGTCCAACCTCCATTAAAAGAAGTACTAAGTAGGCCTAGGCCTATAAACATGATCCAACTGTTTGTATGTTTCGTGCGCTTACCTTCGGCTACGCCTACGTGTAATATAGAAACCATGCAAGAGTGGAAAGCAGTAGTCCTAGAACAAACATCAAACCATGTCAACTGACTGACATAAAGCACAACAAATACAACTCTAAGTTTAACCTGTTGTTAATAACAAAACATCGACCATGTCGACACATTGAGTGAACATACATAATCGAGTGCCAACTCGTTACTCCCAGAACTGTGGGGTCCGACGTCCGAGCGGGGCGGACGTCGGACCCCCCACAGTTCTGGAGGTCCGGGTACCAGCTCGTCTGAGTCTGACAAATTTCTTCAAACTGATCTTAATAAACTGACAATAAGTTGCAAACATAATAACTATTGATATAATACTCACCGATTGTTCTCCAGTGGATTAGAATTACGAAAACAGTAGAAACATCGAGTAAAGGAAGAGCACAACCGCTAGCTCAATACGCGAGACTCAACAATAGCCTTCTACGCGTCAAGATTGAAGTTTATGTCCGCCATTACTGTTTGTTCGGTGGTGATGGTGACGATCACATGACCGAAAACAGTTACGTTGATTGGATCCGTTGCGTTCTCAGAGTGGCCATTATCACACACGGGGCAACCTCCACGCCCCGCATTATTTTTAGCATTTTACGCAGTGATTAAAAGACTTAGAGATCAGCGTTAATGTAAAGATTAAAGTTATGGGATAGAAACGATTCACGTTGAAATAAAACATTGAAAATGAAAATGCACGAACATGAATTTCACATTGAAACCGCTACTTTCCCAAAGAAAACGGCATGTGAAAATCTGCTTCTCATTCCATTTTCTGTATCATTTCATTTTGCAGTTTGCTTTTACCAAGGTCATTGGAGGCTCAGCGAAAGACATCCTTCCTCAACCTACGTTTTCAAAATCTGCAGTGACTACAAAAGTGTCCAATGCACTACATTATTTTTTAAAGGCTCGTGCTAGTTCTCTCCTAAAATAAAAATTTGAAAAATATGTCAAATTTATAAGCAATATATGAATATCACGATCGATGTCGTTATGCGCCCTTGCATTAGGTTGTGGCCTTGTATACTTTCTTTCAGTTTTCAAATTATGATGTACTTCATGTACTCAGGCTGGCATTCATCCGGCGTCAAGTATCCTGCTGGCAGGCTGACACGTATAAACTGAACTCTGCAAGTGACCCCAGATTACTGTTACGCTTTTGAGATGTTTCTTTGCCACTCTCTTGGCTGCCTCCCAGCTTCGATGATGCGGCGTTTCTCAACTTTCCATTGCATCACGTCTTCATCATATGGCCGCGATGCGCCACCTTCACTGCGCACAATCCTTATCCGCTATCACTGGAGTGTGGCCACACAGTGCATTATTGAGAAGGGGTGGCCTTTCGAAGACCCCGTGGATCTCTCGACCGTGGGAAAAGTGTGGTGTTGATATCAAGTTGGACAGAGGGATGTTTCCCAAGTCGTCACTGGATTATAGTGTTCTAAATTTTAAGATGCTGTGAGAGAACGATGCTACAACCAAGCTGCTAATTTCCCAGATTAGTTTCATTTAGCTCATCGGCAGACAGAATAGGACTTAATCAGACATTGCCAAGACTGGTCTTTGTGAGGCTTTGGTCCTTTCCAGCTTGTTGAACTTTAGTAACGAGCAGCCACAGAAACTTTACAGATTTTACAGCGGATATCGTTGGATTTTACTTGGCTGATTTAGTGAGAGGTAGATGGACATAGTCAAGGTATGTACGATTTACTTGCATCTGATTATTTTATGCACACTGACATCCGAAGGTAGTACAGTGACGTCATAACTGCGTGCCATAAAGAACGGGTCATGTTTATGCTCTGTTACCACTGGCCTTGAATCACATTTTCTGCTGGATGTTTGTGCTCGTGTTTATTAGTAAATATTCAGTAAAAGAAACAGTTCGCCAAAGGTGGTCGTGAATTGTACAAGGTACTCTTAACTGACACAGTTTATACAGTGGAGAGCGACATACAACCTAATTTATTATGCTTAGTAGCTATAAGCCTGCAGTTTTCCTCAGCTTCCGTCCAGTACATTTTCACTACATAGACCTACCACTCCTGTTGTGCCACAGATCAGAAAACACGCTACGAAACTAACACCATCAATGTCGAAGGATTTTTAACGGAAAGATAACTCACTTGAAAATTATATGGCACTATATGGGACTCGAGGAAAGTTGCAAGAGTCGATTCTCAACTTAGGTTAGATCATGCTTGGGCAGTCTTGTTTTCTCAGCGAAATGACGGGGGAACTAGCATAGCTTCAGGATGCCATCTTAAATATTGTGTGCCTGTTGGAAATGCTAGCGATGATGTGTGATGCGAGTCGTGTCCTCTGTGGTATGGTATATAATCAGCATCATGTGCCTGCTGCGTCATTGGAATTCGTCTGTGGAATGCGGATGCAAGCACGTAGGCCGTGGATGAGAAACAGTCCGAGGACGATCGAGCCGTGACCGCCAACTCGTATTCTAATCAGGATCACAGTGACATGATATTGGATTTGGAGCCAATACAACACATAACTGATCCCTTACATTTTGATCCACGGGCACCTTGACCCTTGATTACTCAGGGCTGTGATTACAATCGACACGGATAATCTATATATAATTCACAATCGGACGACTAAATTTTAAAGGAGAACAAACTTCTCTCGTGCTTCACAAAATGTTCATGATATATATGCATATTACTAAAACGAATGTGTCGTAAAAGCATTATCAAAAAAGGGGTATTTGAGGAGACATGTTCCTCTATTTAACAACTTGTTTTGTAATGCTCACTTTGCAGGCTATCATGTGACCCATCAGTGTGCAACGTTGGAATCATACTTCGTGACTCAGATACTGTTAAAGATCTGATCGATATGGCAACAGCTAATGTGGATTTGTGTGAGAAGATCTCCCAGGATCATGTTAAGGTAAACAGGCCCCCTAAGCGGCGTAATGAAGACAGTCAGTTTCTTCAAGGGGACGGCCACTCTGACTACATGGATGGAAGGTCTAGTTCAAGTTCCTTCTGGAGCTCCCGGCCACGTTACGATAGTAGCGTCCCGAGTATTCTTGTCTCTGGCATCGAGGCTGAGAGTGATCCTGGGGCTGCGGACGATGTACCCGGAGCGGATGAGCCGGAAGTAGATCAAGCCGGAGGTAACGGCGGGAGTGATGACGACGTGAACACCGGAATTCACCATCCACACCTGGCTGCTGATCTTCTTGCTGTGCTCAGTGCCATGCGGGATGCTGGAGACATGACGGATGTTAGACTCAGGGCGGGCCACAAGATCTCCGGACCAGCCTTACCGTGCCACCTGGCCGTGGTCTGCGCGGGGAGTCCCCTCATGGAGAAGAGTCTGCTGGAAAACTACGGAGACGCACTCGCAAGCATGGGGAGGAATCGGACCCTCAATGTGCCAAAAATGAAGCCAGAGATCCTGCAGCTCATCATAGACTTCACCTACACGTCCAAAATGCAGATTACCAATCAGAACGCCCAGGAGTTGTTGCAACTCTGTTTCAACAAGACACCCTTCCTGGGCAAGTCGGTAGAGTTCGCCTGCAGCGAATTTCTTGTGGGTCAGTTTTCAATTGAGACAGAGAGTGAGACGTCGTCGACCAGTGCCATCACGTCCTCCGGTCTATCCACAGAGGATGAGACCCAGTCTTGTCAGTCGTCCACTTTTTCGGCCGGCCAGGAGACCTGCTTTCACGATTACAATTACCCACTCGCAATCCTGCACAATCTGAATGAACAAAGGCACAAGAAGGTCGAATTTACAGATCTGGTTTTGAACGTAGAGGGGAAGGACTTCCCTTGTCACCGAGCTGTTTTGGTTGCGCTCAGTCCATACTTCCGTGCCATGTTTACCTCAGGCATGCGTGAATTTCGCGAGAAAAAGGTGACCCTGAGCGACATAAAGGCAAGCATATTTTCTTGCCTTCTGGATTTCCTCTACACTTGTAAACTCCGGATTAACGAGGACACAGCCCAAGTGATGCTGGAGACGGCTTGCTTCCTCCAGCTCACGCCAGCGGTGAGCGCGTGCAGTCAGTTCCTCAAGGAGAACATGGTGACGGAGAACTGCCTTGGTATCTTGGGCTTTGCCAAACTCTACACCTGCTCACAGCTGTACGAAGACGCCATGGTCCACGCCCTGGCAAACTTCAAGGAGGTTGTGTCCTGTGAGGAGTTTCTGGAGTTGCCAGCAGATATTTTGGCGGCGTACATCGTAGACGACAGGCTGAACGTCAAGACAGAGGAGACCGTCTTCGAGGCGGTGGTGAGATGGGCAAGAGCGGATCCCGAGTTGAGACGCTTCCAACTACCGCGCGTCTTGGCAAACGTCCGTCTGCCTCTTGTTGACCCGGATTATTTCAGAAATTTCGTGGAAACAGAGCCACTGGTTCTTGAGTGCCAAGATTGTCAAGAGCTCGTCCGCACCGCCAAGAGGCTGAGGGAACTTTCGGGCAGAGGGCAGCACATCGACGATCCCAACTTGAAACTGCGCTTTTCCATGACGACCCAGGTAGGAATTGTAGATGAATTTCAGATGCAGATTGTCCTTTTAAAGCATGGCATCCATTCTTTTTGGGGGGTCTGTTGCTGCCAGTCACCATGGGACATTTTGCTCCCCTCCACCCCTGCTAAACATGAACTACAGGTGTGTTGGCGGGTCTTCTAAAGCTTATCCTGGTACTGTTGTGATTTGTTTCGTGAGCACGCAGCCATCTTACCGATCAGACAGTCAAGTCTGTCTCAAACCCAACTCTTTTCTCTTCCTTTCTTGGTCTGCAGGTCATTGTTATTGTGGGTGGTTACGACGACAGCCAGCGATGGGTCCGCGATGTCTGGTGCTTCAACCCACGTGATGAGTCTTGGCACAGCCTCGCCCCGTTCCCAGGGCGTAATCAGCGCTTCGCCACCGTAGCCGTGGAAAACGACATATACGTGATCGGCGGCCAGGCTGACCACGGCAACAGCATGTCAGAGACGCTAGCCGACGTCTGGCGTTACGACTCTATCACCGACACCTGGAGCAAAGTTGCCGGCATGAACCAGCCTCGGCACGGCCACGGTGTGGCCGTAGTGGACGGTAAGATCTATGTGGTCGGCGGGAAGATGGGCTGGGCTAAGAAGTTCAACGACATTGAGCGGTACGATCCGGCATCTAATATCTGGGCCTGTGTGACACGTGTCAAAGGGAGCTACCTAGAGAAGCCAGTGGCTACATCCCACGGGGGGAAGCTCTACGTAAATGGGTACTTCTACCGTGATCCAGACATTGTACATTGCTATGACCCACACGACAACTCCTGGACGCCCATGTACAGCTTCCAACGTGCCCAAGGTGACGCCATAGAGACTGCCGTGGTGCTGGACGATTACATCTACTTCCTGGTGTACCGTGGGTATGATAACTACATCGTCATTTTCAACCCAGCCACGTGCGAGCGAGTGAAGGGAGGCTGCAAGATGCCAGACGGGAAATACTTATACTCCTACGGGGCAACAGTGATGGGCGACAAGATTTTCGTGGCCGGGGGGAGTAAGCTCGATGCAAGTATCAACGTAGCCTATGTACAGTGCTACGATCCGGCACTCGATGTGTGGGGCGTGGTTGGGACAATGCCACACCCACTGTGTGAACATGGATGTGTGACTATCGAGAAATACATGCCTCAATCAAATCCTTGAACAACAAATGATGTCCTGAAGCACATAAATCCTCACGAATGACAGTAACTGTCGAGATGAATCAAATGGACTTATAAACGTACTACTTTTGATGGAAAAACTCACAGAAATGTAGAGCAACTACATGTTCGTCACTGAGGAAATAAAAAGCATTTCTCAAAGAGCTTTAGAGAAAAGTGTGGGCAAGCCGCTGCAAACTTAAACGCAATGCATATTTTTTCTTCTTTTTCTTCATATTTATTTCTGGTAATGACACCACGGATTCCTCAAAAGCTCCCCAGGCATTGTAGCTCGCAAGCCTGAAGAAACCTGTAGAGAGGAGACAATGAGAAGCAGTTACAGTTTTAGAGGTGGGAGGAAAACCCCAGAGGAATATTCTGGGCAAAACCCACGGAGTCAGGTAGGGTACAATTATTTTATGTGCGTGATTCAAAGCTCCTATTTGTCATTATTTTAATGACAAATGATTTACATTCTTGGTCCTCACGGCTTGAAGTAACAATGAAATTTTTAAAAAGTTTTTACAATGCACTGTTTACCTCGATGTCTTGCGCTTTTGCCCAGAACACATACTACAGGCCCTTGCGCTGCAACAGGTAAAAATGACGTTGATATATATGCTTGGTGGCGGTAATCAATTATTGTTACTCGTATGACTGACGCACGCTTGACCTGTTATCACCAGCACTACGGTGTTGTTAAGTATTATATAGGTGGTTTCGGCTTGAACCCAACCGGTCAAATTAATTGGTTACGCTTACTATCGAAAAAAAATGTAAGTGAATTGAAAAAGTGGTAAGTCTCACAAACGTCAACCAGACTGAATGGTTAAACCATACTTTTCAATATCTCACACCTGATTAGTTCCCACCAGTTATCATAATTATCACACTGCTGATGCAAGGGTAAAAGGTGTTATCAGTACCAAGCAGATATGATGATTCCCATTAAATTTATATATTTTAAAGGTTCTTTGTATAATGAAAAAAAAATCTGGCAATAAAAGCGCAGTGCATGAACTTTTCTTTCTCTGCGAGTGGTCTGACTTATATCAGTTTACATTATGAAAATGACTGTGCGTGCTAGCCATGCCTTTACCGTTTGTGCCACGATTTTATGGAGTTATGGGGTGAACAAACAACTTAAATCCAATTGCCTTCCTGCATTGTCGCGGGAGACCTCAAAGTGTACGCCAAGGGCAGCCGACCAATGCACTGAATGAGTTATTTCGGGGGCCGGAGCTCCGATAAAATACCCCTGACACGCGTCTGACGCTAGAAAATCGTGCATACTTTATACACAGTGTTCGGGCTGAAGGCGCTAAGCTCCATTTTTCTGCACCGTCACTGTCACAGACCGAGTGCTTAACTTCTGTCGGACATCATCCCAGAAAGGTAGGCTGGTCTTGTTGCACTCGATATTTTAGGATCTTGGAATCTCAATGACACCACACGAATACAGTGTCTTTCCTGAAGTGTGTATGTCATTACTTAGAATTTAATACCAAACTAGCTGCCAAACCGTTTAATTTATTTTCAACTCTTAACTTGAAACAGTGAGTGAACGAACTGTGTATTATCAATTTCAGTTTACTCGTGATAAGTTGTCGAACTTGACCTTTACTATGTAAACAGTTCTGACTTCGAGATCCCAAAGGTGGTTTTACACAGAATTTCTCCAATTATATTACCATCTGCAACTCGTTATACATATTCCGTAATGATCGCCTCAAACTATGCCATTCAACATTATGACCTTCATTTTCAACATAGGTTTCGCCTCACTCGAGCATAGTGTAGGCCCTGTCGCATCAACCAAACGAATGCTGTCTTCCCGACATTAGGCCGAGTTCCCACCCAAAAAATCCTGTTAAAGCTAGTGTATCAAAGCTTGTCCTCTGAGATGACGAGTGCCAAGAGACTGAGCCTGGCCGATGCAACGGGAAAGGGCGTAGCGCTGGCCGTGACGGTGCTCCTTGCAATGACCGTGAAAAGCGGCGGGCGTGCCGAGTTCACCGGGCCAGGGACGGACCGAGACCTCGAGACCATGTTCAAAGGGAGATGTGCCGAGTATCTTACCGGGAGAGTTAACCCACATGTGAACGTTACTCAGTTGAGGTAAGCACATTTTACTCCACAATCACACTGAAATGTGTAAACAACAAAATGCCTACTGGTAAATCCATTATCTTGGTAGATTTCCATGGTTAAAAACTGGGATAGTGAAGGATTTATGACATCTCATTTCCAATTTACGCTTGGAAGGGTTTCACTTCTTGTTTTCATTCTAGCACGAAAAACTGCACTTTGCTGTGGGAGTTATTCTACAATGCTTTCGTGTATCGTGATCCATGTAATGTCACCGTGGAGAGTTTCTCCGAGTTGATCAAGCAGGCGACTGTTGAGATTCCCGTCGACAGGGTACACTTTCTTTTCCATTGTCTCTTCAATACTTAAATATCGGTGTGTTTTTGAAAGTATGCCCATTCTACACCCTTTACGCCAGTAGATATGCCTGTGGAACGGCAATAGGCCTACTGAACTGAACTCCTCTAGAACGATTTTCGCCAACCGTTGGTTAAAAACCTGCTTTTGTCTGAGAAAAGACCACGGCTGTCAAATATTGGCCCCTATATACGTTTTATTAAACTTAAATATCTCCTCTTATGGCCATCTACCCTAGGCTGTCTATTGGGATGACTGGGACGTGTATGCCGTGACGAGATCCTACGCAGACGAGGCCAGGCGAGCCAGCACACTAGAGTTCATGCTGGTCGGCTTCATCATGAACGGGCTGGTCTTCTGCGGTCAAACGGAGGACCCTGGTATAAATTACGAGGTCTGTCCCGGAGCAAACGAGTGCGGCTTTGCCGTCGGCGCCATGGACGGTTTCTGGGGTGCCGCCTCCAAATACGTAAGTTTGAACATAAAGAGCACCTCAAAGTAAAACATGTTTTTTTCTGATTTTATCTGTTCGAATAAATATAGAAGCATCCAAATCGAACGCAGTGTGATTTGTCTTCAGAGCTCAAATATAACAAGCTTAAATTTGTTCTTTGCTGTTCATGCCAAGGTGCGAATAGGCCTAATGAATGTAAATTATGTCATTCGGAGCCCGAAAAAAACAACGGGAACCCTCGCCCTATGTTAGAAGTGGATAAACCCATGTGCATGCCAAACATCAGCTACATGCAACGGCGGACTTGTACGTGTAATTGTATTGTAATTATCCTTGATAATGAAGACCGTGAACATTTTTTTCTGTTACAGTTTGGAAGTAACGGCCGGGGGAATGTAAAATTCATAATCAACAGTCAACCAACAGGAGGGGCATTTCAAAGAGAGAACAGGTATGAAAAAAATCCAAACAATGGCAATTATGTTTTGTATACAAAATAAATGACTGCATCCTATTATTAAATTCAAGAGTGATAAATCCCGATATCTTACGTGATTGTGTATCTCCCAAGTTACTTTGCAGAGTTCGAGCTGGCGAACATGAATCCCTCGGAAATTACCAGGATGGATATTTACCTTGTAACCTTCATCAGCGAGGAGCAAGGGTAAAGAGAATTTAAGATTTGTTCGGAATTTGGGAAGCCTCTCGGATAAATGTCATTATTCATCATTCCTAAGGGTTGCCGTTTGATTCTCAACAAATAGTTGTAATTTTCTTTTTTTTTCAGTGACACTTGTGAATCTCAATCAATACAGACGCTGAAAGCCATGATTATGCAAAAAGATATTAACTACCGGTGTGTGGATCAGCCAAAGTAAGTTTAGGCCCGTTTAAAAAAACTGCAAAACCTCCCAACATTTATCAAGCTATAAAATGAATATCACCACAACAAAAGACAACGTTCACTGTTCACTTTAATCAAAAGTATATCGTTGGAACTATATGTATTGTCATTTTTTTCCCCAGTGATGTTCTCCATATTCTGTGCGCAGACAACCCCCAGGCGGATGAATGTGCATTACCAAACATCTCAAGCCGAGCTTACCCCAGCAACCCCTCTTATCTTGCGGTGATTCTTATAGGACACGCCCTACTCAAAATATACTCCCTAGGCTCCATATAAAAATCTCCTTTCCAACATTAAACAAGCTATACAATGAATATCACCACAAGAAAATACAACGTTCACTTTTCGCTTTAATCAAAAGTTCACGAGAGAAACCATGGTGTCGAGAGAAAATGTTTCCTTATTGAACTATATTGTTGGAACTATGCTTATTTTCATTTTTCCCCAGTGATGTTCTCCATATTCTGTGCGCAGACAACCCCCAGGCGGATGAATGTGCATTACCAAACATCTCAAGCCGAGCTTAACCCAGCAACCCCTCTTATCTTGCGGCGATTATTATAGGACACGCCCTCCTCAAAATACACTTGCCCTGATTCAGACTTATATAAAGATGACCTATCTCATGTGACAAAGTTTGTTCGTTTAAAAAATTGTACCATAATAACAATCAAGGGAGTATTAAAGCTATGCGACTCAACATTTAGCAACGAAAGTTGGATAACGTAGGATAGGTTTATATGGGGTAGGATGCCTAATTGTGAGATTTTGTAAACAGAATTAATAATGTAATACCCAGTTCTTTGGTGGAAAAAAATTAAAATTACGAACGAGTTACATGTATTACAGTTTGTACACTGCAATCTGTAAACTTCAGAATTACAGGAATAAAACACGATCACGCCCGAGGGCCTGAGGTTTTTCTAAGTTGATGTTCACATCTTTTCCTTTTTAAAAGAAAGAGCCTTTTATGACACTGTAATATTTTGATAAGATAATACGGGCGATTCACAATAGTGCGCCTCCAAGAGTTTCCAAACGCGCATTGGGTCGACAAATTTCGCGCATTGTGATTGGCCAACCCGTTGCAATATCTTGGAGGCGCACTATTGTGAAATGCCCGTATTGTTAGTAATTGGTAACTTTTGAACTAGAATAAGGATAAAACTTGGTCACCAGCGTGGCCCAAGAACACAAGAATGGGCGGACGCTGCTGGTGCGGTAGGGTTCGATTGATTGACCTCTCATCCTTTAACGTCTGAGCAACTTTTAACCAATAGCATAATCTGACCAATACGGCAAAAGTTCTTGACCAATCACATCATAGCTTAGAAAATAGTTTTGGAAATAAAAACAAGTAGTTCGTCCTGGGGTTCATCATGTTCATGCATAATGCGCAGTACGATACAAATGGAATCAACCAATCTGCACGTTCATTCTGCGTCGAAAGTTTGAAGAAACGGCGTTGTGGCGTTGTCGAGCAGTAGTGGAAAAAAACATTGTAAAACTGTTCCTTTTGCACATCTCAAAATTAGACGGCTTTTGTCAGTATAGGATCGTTTTTCTTGTGCAGCGTGGTAAATCATGTAAACCGAGCTTTCACTGTACCAGAGGGGGAAGACAAAGTCAGTCGGTAGTTCTGCAAGCATCTGACAATTGCACGCAGTAAGGAGGTTAGGGAAGAAATATGGCCTGCCGAGAAAACTGATGGGTGATGCTGAAATTTCCATGGATCCGGGACTACCATCGAATGTCACCAATCCTACTACCAGCAAGCAAGGTAGACCTCCCGGCTCGGCGTTATCACGATGCCTCACTAAATTCGAAGGGGACGCTGAACTAAAGTTAGGCCTAGGCTAGGTCTTGTATGATCACTGATGATATAGGTTTAGCTTTCCAAAATGGTTAACTAACAGAAAGGCTATGCGAATAGAAGTTGTAGATTTGCATCCTAACAATTTCAAAAACACATGATGCATTTTTTCATAAATCATTTGTTATTTCAACCTCCAAGTACCAGAGGAGGTAACAAGTCAACTTTTGCAAGTCCAAGTCAAGTCACAAGTCAATTTTTGCAAATGTAGGTCAAGTCACAAGTCAACAACTGATTGTTACAAGTCAAGTAACGAGTCACAAAAATAGCGACTCGAGTCTGACTCGAATTCAAGTCAAGTGACTCAAGTCTACAGCTCTGCCAAGTACAGACAGTCATGTTTCAAGCCGAACTAAAACCAAAAGCCTTGCTGATGAATGAGCTAGGCCTAAGCCTACATGTATCGTAGACCTTTCATAAGTTTATGGATTTGGTCAAATAGGAATTGTCACAAGACAAGACCCACACACTCAGTAAAACGTACAACTTGTGCAAGCCCATCCAACACGCGTGGGTCAGCCATAGCTTGAGCAGACATCTGGACATACAAAAGCCATCTTAACTGTGCTAGGCCTAAGTAGGCCTGTTGATGAAATGCATAAATATGGTGCTTTATACAGCTGCTAGAAGATTTGGAAATCTGATTTTTGTGATTTGTGTCTTTTTTGTGGAAATAATGAAATCTTTGTAAATAATTTCTTGGGGGTGGTGGCATTGGGACATGCAGGCGGTGGATGTAAATCTATAACTTCGGAGGCCAAAAGGCTTAATTTAGCCCATGACATCAGCGTTAGACGTCATGGTTACATTACATTTAACCGGATTATGAAGTGCAGCAAGGGAATCCATCTGGTCTGTGCATTGAGGTTTAATGGTGTAACTAGAAGTAGAAATGGTTGCATCTCTTTCATTTCAAAAGGCAGGGCTTCCATTTCTCACCTAGTAACGATGAACTTCTTCACTCTTTGCAAATCGAACAAAGACAGAAAAGAAGGCACTTGTTGCACAAACAAGTGCAGCAGCAAGAACATAACTTCTAACTTGTTGTTTTGTTAATTCATCTTAAGTCTCACCAGCCAAAAAAGATTCAGCCCCTCACCAGAAAGACTACATAGTCGTTGACCTGGAATCGCAAGATACAACCCACAGGTTGCAAACGATTCTCACTCTCCACTGGTAAGCTTTCTGTTCTTTCTCTGGAACCCCCTTTGACTTTTAGAGAGAAAACTTTCTAAAACTTTTCTTTTTTCTGAAGACTTGGAGAAGGTTATGAGTTACCATCACTCATGAAACTTCAAATATGCACCTGTGGACTTGCTAAATTAAAAGAAAATGAAAACGCTCAGGAATGATAAACTGATTTTGATGCTAACTGGACATGCAAATCTTTGCTCTGACTTCTTGGTCTGTGCTTCATTTCAGGCTTTCTCAGCACTACGAGTCAGTTGAAGGGGTTTCCCTACCTCGTTGTTTGATCTACAAACATTACTCTGACTACTGCCAGAAACACCAGTTCCACCCCATAAACGCAGCTAGCTTTGGAAAGGTAGATTCCAATGATCCAATGCCCACACTAAATATCAATGTTGAGTTTACCATGCATCCTGCAGAAGTGCCTCTTTTGCCGGACGTGAACGAAAAAACACCTACTGTTCATTAGAAACTTTCTCGGTTTGAATAATAATCATTGCTCACTGTTTCAACCATTGTCCAGGTTATTCGACAGGTGTTTCCGGAACTGCGCACTCGCCGTCTGGGCACTCGCGGACAGTCAAAGTACCACTACCACGGCATCCGTGTCAAGGAGTCCTCGCCGTACTTTGGAGTTTTCTTGGACTCCCAGCGCATCACGACACCTGCGTTTTACAGAACCCCTGGTATTCCCCTCCTGTCATCCAAGGCCCAGTGGGAATCCTCACTGGTACGTTTTCACTCTTTTCCTTTAAGTTGGGGGAGGGGGTATTACATTGTTTGGCCCCCTTACACACTTTTTCATGTTGCTGAATAAAAAGTGTAGGCTTAAATTTGATTCTACAACTCATAAATAGCTAGTGAAACGCCTCCAAATGTGAAAATGCCATCCAAAGTGGTCAGAAGTTACCTCAAATTGCACCAGAGAGCATCTAGAATCCAACACTAAGCAGGCCCTAAGACCCCATGCACTTAGCAGTCACATTGGTGTTGCTCTAGTCACTATGTCCTCCAACTTTCCAGAAGTCATATACCTGGTGTTAGTATATCCTCTCACTGTGTTTTAATTGGTTTCAACTGGTGTCTGGCAATTCATTTCCTGTAATCATTACAGGTCAGCATTAATTTTTTAGCATGTAGCTGGTAAATAATTCTCAGTTTCTGGCAAACTCACTTCATGAGTGGGCCAAACAATAATTTATATGTAGAGGCCTTAGATCCCTACAGTAATGATGGCCTAACAGCTTGTGCAATAAAAACTCCAATTGGTTAAGGGGCACTGGGCCTACTTATCAACTCTTTGAACTCACTGGTGGTTTAACGGACAGAATAATTTGAAACAATTTCATCTTTTCAAGCTTCAGTCACAAACTGACAACCTGCCGTCACCAATGACTTCCATGCTGACACTGCTGCCTGAATTTCCGACGGCTGCGCAGACACAGCCCTGGGGAGATTTGGAATTTGATCAGGTATGACCTGCATGAGATTTGTGAATTCTTCTTCAAGGCACTGTTAAGTCTGCATGCTAATGGGTCATCCGATAAATGTGGGGTCCAGTTTCTTTCCTGTCCCTATCGCATTTTGCCTATGATTTGTTAATGTTTAGAACTTATTGTTTAATTTCCAGGATTGAATAAGTACTGCAAATTACCTGCCAAATAAATAAAAATAGTTTGAAATCAATTTCAGTACATGTACATGTTTTCAGTACAAAGTACATGAGTCAGGTAAAAAAGGGATGGAAAAATGTCACGCGCCGAACCACAAATTGATAGCATGACTCAACTTTCAGGCTCCCACAAAATCATGGAATTGCAACCCTTTTCCTGCCTACAAATCCACACATTTGGGTGTACCGTTGGTATGCCCAGAGAGGACGATCAGTCGATCAGGTGATCAGGTGGCCAATTCAAGAACAACATAGGTTGCACATTATTACAATAAAATCTGTGAGAACAGACTAGGAGTAGACTTCAACTAGGCTAGGATAACCCCTGGTGTGTTCCAGTAAACTTGTCACATTGTTCTTTGCCAGGTTGATGGAGTGATAGCCCAGTACAGGTGCCACTGCCAGCAGGTCATTGAATACGTCCTGCAAGGAAAACTGGAAGAGGTAATCTATAACAACATTTTCACTGACCAAATACGAGGACTTACAAACAAAACCGCAAAGAAAGCGACCAACTCTTCATCGTAGACACCAGTGTTTATTTTTAATGCTGAAGTCCAGCCATTCTTTACAATTTTTCTGACAATAGGGCTGAGTCAATTCCAATAATTCACTATTCGAATATTCAACCTTCAATTTGATTGAATAACCCAATATTTGACTGTACCGACCGGCAGATTGTTGATGAACAAACCATATACACAATCAGTTGCAATAACGTAGCACAATTCAACAATATAATCAATAAAATAGCTTCTCACATCTAGGAGTTTCTCCAGCCACAATTTAGCACGATTTAAGAGATGCACAACACTTGTTGACCTGTTGTAAATTTCTGTTCCTTTTAAATTGTTTAATGAATAATTTACTTTTTGGATCGTAAGAATTCTGTCATTTTTCAGTTGAATCTGCTTGAAACAAGCCTCCATGGTGCAATTTTTCTCATTTAAAACAAAAGAAAATTTTCCCTTCCTTTTTATGCATTTTGCATTCAAATACATGTATTCAAATTTGGAAAATAATATTCGAATATTTGTTAATCAATCCAATATTCGTATATTCGGCACAGCCCATTCTGACAGTTCGTTAGTTAGGACTTTCAAAATGCATGGACTCATTTCAAGTACAGAATTTAAAAACAAAGGGCTTTCGGGGACATTTTTATGAAATCAGGTACCAGTGACCGTGCATCAATATTGGCGGAGTCTCCCCGATGAAACAAAACAGGTGCTCTCATCATCAAACAAACTGGCTGATCTGATTGGTCTGTGCGACAATATCCTGTACCAGACATTGGTCAACATCCTCATCCCTGGCACAGTGCAGCAGCTACCCCCAAGGTATTAAACAGAAAGTCTGTGTGGGGGAGGTGGAGCTTACACTGAAGAAGCCATCATTCAAGGGGGGGATGGGTGTGTGTTCTCAAAGTTTCTAAGAGTTGATGCTCTGAAGAAACTATTGCGTTAACAGTGTCACGAATGTACCAATTGATGCCTCGTACAGTTTAAAATCTCTGAACCCCCCATGCTCATGCATATGACCTAGTGCGCTTTGTACTTTTGTCCTTTATACAGCCTGCTCCATGCTATCCGCCATTTCTCCTGTGGATTCCAGAAAATCATTGAGGAATCTCTTCCCACTCTGACGGAGTATTTCCATCTCAAGCAAGTCCAAAGTGGGTTACAAATTGTATAGGAACGCTTGGATGAGCAGATGAATGCATTAACAAGGATGAAATATATTTTGGTGTTTTTAATTGTACATGTCAATCTACTGAATAACCTAGGAAAGAATTTAGTAGAAAGCTTATTATCAGATATGGGTGATCAATCGATGAGATGAATACGATCTTTCTTGATCGCTTAACATGGCAATGATCTTCAAAAAGCATGTCGGCACTAGAAAAATATATATCTAAATGTTATGTTCATCATAATTTCAGCTGTGAAGCGATTTTGTCAGCTTCTGAAGAGAAAGACTTCACTGTCTCACTTAGCCCAGGTAAGGAATTAAGAGAAGAGTTTATCGAAGTCCTCAATTAAAATTTCTTTCTTCACTTTTGAAATTGATCTCCGGTTGACCAAGTTTATTAGAGCTGTTTGTTGGCAACGTTGTCAAAGTGTTTGGTCTAATAAGTCAGTAAAAGTGAACTACTAACAGACAGTTCAGTACAGAAATGTGAAATGACCATCTGTGCCAGGCCACTCGAGCTGTTCTGAAGACAAGAGTGACCGTCACCCAAATGAGTCACGACTGGCGAAAACGGACCGAGCAGAACACCGTTTGCGCCCAGCTCATGTGGACCGCCCCAGGCAGCTCAGCAGCCATAAAAGCAGCGGTCAAGAAATGTAAGTCAGGAAGAACTGGAACGATTTTTTAAAAACCTGATTAAAAAAATACAGCAGAAATGAACATAACCCTTGCCATATTTAGCTATCTCAAAATAGGTTGGTGGCTAAATTGTTCCTTGGTAGAATTCAAAAAGATGAATCCCAAGAATAGAAGAAAACATTTTCTCACATCAGTCATTTTTACTCATCAGGCTTTGCAGAATTTTCTCGGCTTCTGGAGAAGCATGCAAGTGTCGAGGAACACATCAAATGGCTGGACACCGTCCGCAGAAAGTGCCTGAAAAGTGTAAGCTGGATCTTGAACAGATCATTATGTTACCGACCTTTCAAAACAATCTTAAACCAATCCTTCCAGGCAATCTTGAATCAAATTTGTCCATGTTTGTTAACATGAATTGAACTCAAAGCTGCTCTTCTGTAAGTAAATCTTTCTTCCGTAATTTGTTTTCTAGACAGGGGAAGGAGACCTCGATAAGACAGAGGAGGCTGAACGAGACTTCCTGTTGCAGTGGTCCTACGTCTGCAATCTCCTCATCAGGGATCAGACACTGAGAAGTGCAACAAGTTTTGGTGAGTTGTCAGACACGTAATGTGCACAACAGCATCATTTTATGGAAGTGAAGGATATAAATGGAGGATAGGGAGTGAATCCTATTTACAATCTGGTCTCGGAACACATTAAAGATCTCGTCTCCAGTCTCTGCCTTTGTACCCCATTCCCAGCACAGAAACAACAAAAAATTCACATCAGTCTTGTACCTTTTATATGGCAGGATCATTCCATCTGTTGCATCTTCTCTATGAGGAGTACCTCTTGTACGTGGTGGATGTGCAGCAGAACCAGAAACAGGAGAGAGCCCTGTGGAAGAGGTTGTTTGATAATGACACAGACGGTATGCTGAATGTGCTTTTGTTTCAAATAGTTTGTCGATCTAACAACTCTCACTGCCGGAAACCCCTCAAATTGTATCAGTTATACGCTTAAATTTCTCACAAAACTCGATGCGTATGACTGATTCAAGGCGGTAACAAAAACAAAAATGTCTCCCGATTTGTTCAAGGAGCGATTTATTCACAAAGTGCAACTTTGTTACCAACAGATTTGTTTTAACCATTCATGATTGTGCATTCATGCAATTCACCGACAAAATCCATATGCATATTTAACACTTTTAGAAGTTGTTAAGTGCAAATTTTAACACTAATAACCATGTTGATAATTGCAGAGCTGAGGTCAAAGCTACCATGTTGTCTGATGCTGATTCACTGCATCACTTCAGTAACTTTGTTTTAAATGTGTTTTTCTACCAATTTGACAGTTATGTTTCACAAACTTTTTCCTTTGCTGTCAAGAATATCTTAGCAATGGCTAATATACCAGCAATACGGGTGATTCACAATAGTGCGCCACCAAGAGTTTGCAATGCGTTGGCCAATCATAACGTGCAAAATTTGTCGACCCTTTCCAAATGCGCACTGGGTCGACAAATTTCGCGCATTGTGATTGGCCAACGTGTTGCAAACTCTTTGTGGCACACTATTGTGAAACGGCCGTATTGAATTTACTTGTGATAGAGACAAAACCCAGTGACATCTTAAGATTAATGGATAATGTCAATGCAGCATTTTTGTTTTGAGCTTTTGAAAAAGAGTAATGTGGAATGTGGAATTTTTTTTTGTTGGTTTTGGCAATCTCGATGTTGCTGTCACTGTGTCATCCTGGCCTGCGCTGATTCCAACGAGACTTACCTCCAGCGTGTTTTTACTGCTCAATTAGTTCCCAGCTACTTCCTGACGTCAGCCGATACCAGCGACTTGGATTCTGCCAAATGCCTCCCTGACGTCAAGGCTAAACACCTTCACCGGTTGCCTCCACACATCAACACCAGCTTCTCCAACCGAGTTCCAAGTAGCCTGATGTTGGGGGTGAGTGCTAATGTAGGCCAGGACCCACTCCATCCCTGCGCCACATCCACGGGGAAGGTATTTGCCAAGCCATCGGTCGCAACAGCAGCAGGAAGCCCACGTCTGTCAGCTACTCTCAGCAGCTCGACAGGTGAGGCCAGCAGTAATGCCGCCTACTCCTTGCCTGCTTCATCCACCTCTGTCCCTGTCTCTGGCACACCCTCCAAAACCCCCCAGGGGAACTTGGGTAGAAGTATAACCTCCACAATCACACCCACCCAAAGGCTGACCAGCTCGCCACAGATACCGGCTCGAGTCAAGGAAGAGACAGCAGCATCCGGCACTTTGTTTGGCGGGAGCCCTAGTCTCCTGACCATACCACTGGGTGGATCCGTCGCAATTCTCCAAACGTCACCCTCAAGAGGGGGCTCTACTGGCGCGGTCACAGTCCTGCCGAGTGGCTTCGGGGTGTCCCCATCCCCAGTTGCTCTGGCTGTGCCGCATGCTGTTAGCCAGCAGCAATTCACAGCCGTTAATTCCACCCTGGTCCCCGCACAGGCAGGCAGCCACAGCAGAGAGCCGCCACCTCTTCAACCGATCACCCCAAGCCACCAGAGCTCACCCGGAAGCCTGAATCCAATAAGTCTGCCAAAAGAAATCCGGCAATCCCAGCAGAATGTGGTGGCTTCCAAGATTGTCAAGGTACACTCTTCCAACCTCAGCATTTCATCCACAGTGAGGGTTGGGGTGATTTTAAGATTGTATTGTCTCATGCTGTTGGTATACTATGTTAATTCACAAAGTTCAGCCCAAGCAACCGAGAGCCAGCCATTAAAAAACTCTTCACAAAATTGCAACCTGTATTCATTTTGCATGAGACTGAATCGAGGGCACAGTTCCTTAAGATTATCCTTTAGTGATCATGACCTACAGCGATAATGTCAACCTGCTCTTTGACATTTACTTTTCTCGTACAAGGCAATCCCAGTGTCAAGTGAGTCAAAACAGAAGCCAGTTTCATTCCAGTTCTCCATAACCACGAGTCAGAAACTAAATCTAGCCAAAGGACAGGTATGTGCAGAATCCCAAAAATTCTTCTGCAGCATTATACGTTTCATTTTGGAAGGTTGGCGTGAATAATACAGCACAGAATAGAGAGTAATATCTTGGCTTTGCATCACATAGTGAAAAGGGTACTGTAATCAAGTTTTTTTTTTTTTTTATAATTTCCATCAGATTTTAACAGCCACAAATGGTGACCGGTACCTGATCAACGAAGTGCAGAGTACTGTGCCAGCCGACACTTCACAGAAAACACATTAGTGATCGAAGGCAAGTAATGCAGTTCATGCCAAGGTTACAGTAGCTGTTTGCTCTGCAGCTCACGCTATTACAAAAATTAAGGGAAAAGCGTGAACTTCAGAATGGAAGATCGAGTATTGCTCTCAAGTACATGTGAGAGTGGCCTTGCTAACCCATTCCTACGTAAAAACTGTTCTATTTCACAGGTTTTTTTAACTTCTTGTTACTTTGTATTTTTACTTCATGTTTATTGTTAACATGTTGCTTCAAGTTTTGATCACAGTTTGCACTGTGCTCTGCAAACTGTAGTTGAAGATGTTAAAGTTTGTTGCATGAAATGCAACTGGTTCTTTCTGATTCGTAGAAATACAGTCGAACCTTGTTGCGCACTGTTAATACAATATTCTGCTTTTAATAAGGACAGTTTTAGGTCACAGTCCTTTGTTTACTAATTTGTTTTTCACTGTATATTATTCCTGATAATGCAAGGTTCCTGTTGTAAAGGTTCCTGTTAAAGTTTGAAAGACCTTGTATTAACAAGGTTCGGCTGTAGCTTACTACATGTACATGTATAACAAAGATAACTTTGGAACAACTTCGTATTTCCAACAGTTATGCATTCTTACCGAATGACTTGCCAGAGCCTGTAGGGTTATTGGCACAAAACCTATGTAATAAGAGTTCAGTTAGAGACCTTGTTTTCTTCTAGTTCTTTTTTTTTTAATGTTTCATGAGTTACTACATGCGTTCACCACACTAAAGACAAATTCTAGTACATATATACATTACAATGGCTTAGCGTACTACAGACAGCGTTCCTGAGCATTTTTAAGCAGCATCACTTTCCCCATACATGATGTATAATACTTCCGAGTTGAAATATCTCTTATTCAAATCTGAATGTCCTTAGTTAATAAGCCATTTGCTAGTTAAATTTGAATAAAATCTGGTACACCGAGTTCTGCAAATTCACGTGAACCTAACAACTTGAATTCTCCATACTAAAACCAATGTAGACCTTGTGACTCGGGGCAAGATTTTGCTTAGTTACATAAGAGACGCCTTGCGACAATACATTGTTCTCAATGGATAAGAACGGCACAACGGAACCAGTCCGTTCCAGAGATGGTGGTTGCTATGCAAAAGCTTGCCCCAAATCACGAGGTACAGCAACAGTGTCTTTAGTCTGGGGTATTCAAATTGTCACATTTCTGTGCAATCAGATAACCCAGCGTACCAGATTTTATTCAAATTTAAATCGCAAGTGGCTTATTGGGATCAGTACATTTTGCTGACAGGAAATGAGCATTCATGACAATTCATAAACATAAAGCTTTTCCAGCAAAATATGGCAATCCCAGACAAGAGGATCATTTAAATAATTATCTTTATATGTACATAAAAATTAAAGGAGTGTATCACATGTCACACTACAATATGAAAAAACCTTAAAAAATGGCTAAACAAACTATTGTCACGTCTTCACCTACTTCGAAATATAACAAAGCATAACAAATACTTTGCATATACATGTATTGTAACTGTATCATGTATGTACAAGAGCACCAGTATTCAGACTTCAAGCAGCATTTCTTGGATGCATGTAACCTGTTTTAAGAAAATGTTAAAAATAAGATTTTTGTCCTTCATACTTTCAAAGGCTATTTGTAATTTCTGAAGATTATTTCAACCATGTGTCAGGGTCGTGTACTGTTGCCAAACAGACAAAATTTCCCTAGGAACTGTGTGATCAAGGGGACTGACGGATAAACATTCATGCATCCTCAAGAATACCTTCATCTGGATCGTCTTCCTTATCGGAAGACTTCAAGGAGTCCTCCGACCCGCCGACATACCCCATGGGCGTGTGGACGTCCACAATTGTCTGAAGCTGATTCACCCTTGGAATGGCCTTCTTGTGGATCAAGGACTTGGGGCGAGGTCTCAGGATGAGTTCCCCACCTCCATCAACCTCTTGATCATCCGTCTCTTCGATGCATGTAAGAACAGTTCCTGAGGGACGTCATGAAACAGTAAAATCATGCAAATTACGACCGAGTCTAGTTCTGAAGAGCATTGTTCCATGAATATAACAGGAAGCTGTTACAGAGTTAACTTCTGAGAATCCCAATTTTCTGAAATGATTTGTTTTTCCATTCCTATTATGATGAAATCCTGGTTNACTTCTTTCGCGATCGGTTTCAGGTTTAGCTAGACTATCATTGTCCCAAATTCGTTTCAGGTATGACGAAGATATTTATTTTAGAAAATCAAAAGCTACGTCAGATTTTATCACGGTCCCCCCCCCAAAAAAACTTGTTGAGCATTTTGTGGTTCCAATGATTTTACACGGGCTGTATGTCGCAGTCATTGGGTACTTCAGAACAAGCTAGTCTCTTCAATGACAAAAATCAAGCCCTCAAGATGGACTCGTAAGTTTGTTTACTGCAAAAACCTCACCACCCCAAAAAAATTAGTAAAAAGTTTGCCATTAACAAAGCGTAGGCTTAACACTGAAATCCCAGACCTTGAAAGGACAACTTGAGTGAAAATGCATGCTGAGCTCACTATATAAATTGAAGTCCACCACCAACACCACCACCACAGTTTCTGTTAAAAAAAGAGAGATTGTTTGAGCAAAAAAATTGAGAGATGAGTGGAAACATAGGCCAGGATCTGCCCCCCGGGTTTGGGAACTTCCATCCAGGGCGGTTTTATGAAACTATGGATGGAAAACGGTCCCCAGTGCCCTAGAAAGTAGAGGGAAGCTTTGTAAAATGGCTGTGAGCTAATAGGGATCACTTTTCGAGGGGTGAGTTTGTTTTTCGTGGATAATTAAAAATGTAATTTACGAACTCACCAAAAATTGAAAGAAATGGAAAGACTTGGGCCGAGAAAAAAAATTCATTTTTTTTATTAGAGTAACTTCAGTAATATCGCCTGGCGTGTTATTGAGCCCTGAACTTTGTTGACTTTACATGGTTTTTAATGGGGCTTGAATAAGTTCACTGCTCCCGATGCTGCGGCGTTTGCAGATTCTTACAAGAGCGCCCTCAATCTGTGCGAGTGGGGTGGCCGCGGCGAGGGATTCTTCGCAGAAACTTAACATTTTTCACTTAAATTCTGTAAGGATTTTACGTAGTTCAAGTATTTTGTATTGACCCCGCACCGAATACGGAAGTGCCAGACTGGGTGCCGAGGCGATAATTAGTTTGGTTTGTTCTCGGCACACGTCTGGCCGATATGATATCAGAAAGAACGCGACTAACGACTCGCCATCAAGCCTATTCATGCGTTACACAAGTGGGTATCAGCATGCTTACATGAACATGCACACACATGGCATATGCACTGAACTCAGCCCACAATCTAGATTCCTGAGTAATGAAATTTGAAAATCAAATAAAAAAATTGAAACATCGCAAATCATCTAGATATGAAGCAAACATACTGTACACTTCACGTGACTGCATGCATAAACCAGATTTCATACAATGCACAAGTAGTTTGGCAATTTCATGTACACACTAGAGTAACTTAGAATTCTTGGTGGGGTGCAGACAAACGAGACCACTCATCGGTATATAGCAGGATCTACAGTAGACCGAGCCGAGTATTGTAGTACATGTACTGGTAGATTGTGTATGCAAATGTCGTGTAGGCCTATGCTGCATCTTCGGCAGGACAATGGGTATTATCTTCATTGTTATCTCCATGAGTCAAACAGCCCACTTTTGTGAATTAATCACGTACTTTGACAATGGGTGCACCCCTCTTGGTTGAGTTCACGTCTGATTGTGTTCGTGGTTCTCGGTGGATTCCCTTGAATACCAAGTTTAAAAAGCTAAGAAAACCTTTCTATGCGGGCTTCTTGTGTTCCTAGCTCTGTGCATGGTTTGACCATGAAGCTATTAAAACCACAGCTAGCCCCATGGTTTGACACAGAACCACTCTCTGTATCCACCTTGCTGGTCAAGGGAAACTTTCACAGGGTATCTACACCTGGTTTCCACAATTATAACCTACTTCATAATGAAAAGAAAATTCCAATTTCGTTCATTTCACAATAAAAACGAGGTTAACTTGGAGTCGGCCTCCACCCAGCGTTGGGTAAACCCAGTATAAATGTAGTGCCTACGATCGGATTAGAAATACATGTAATGGAAAAAACT